ATTTCACTATCTGGGGAACATTTTATTAAGAATTTTAAAGACTATTAAAATGATTTAATTTGCTAGAAGTTAACCATAAGTTTACCTTTTTTCATTAACTAGTATATAATGTTGTTTATTTTGCAATTTAAAGGGCTTTTAAATTTAAAAAAGTATTTAAACACTTTCTTAAAATTTCACTAAATAACATCCCCCTTTTTCCACACCCCTGCCTAACCTGACCGCAGTTATCTGTCCTTTTGGCCAAGGCTGTGTGGGCGTTGTCCTGCCCAACTTATGACAGCTTTGATTGCAGTCAATTTATTAGCAGCTTGCCGCCCCAAAAGAAAAATCTGTTTGCCAAAGGTAAGCCAAGTACCAAGGATGGTTATGGTGTATGTGTGTGTTGTACAAATGTCAGTCATAATTGCTTAATCCCGCTTTTTTAATTAGCTGCCACCTGTGGCCGCCGCAACCGAAAGCAAACAAAGCAAAACAAACCAAAACCAAAAACCAAACGAATCCAAGCGGACGAAAAATTACACAAAAAAAGGAATATCTCTCACGCAAAAAAGCTGTGAATGTTTGCCGGGATATGCTTAAAACCCTATTACCATGGTAATCCCTTTGACAAATGAATTTTAACATGCTCACACACACGGGGAAAAAGCCGCGATCTAAATTCCAGAGGGGAATCCCAATTTAGAATTGAATAATGTAGTTAAAAAGGAGAAAAATATAAATAATAAATATAATATAATAAAAACCAAAAAATCAACTTTATATTCTCTCTAAAACCAAAGCTCAAGAAACTAGCCCCTTCAATGTAATTTTTCTACATTACTACAAGACTAAATAGGTATTTTTTATAGTGTACTCACATCGGAACACACACAGTCAATGCTCGGCACCTAGACAGCTGGTTGTCACTGGGCACAGAATGAGAAATAGACGCACACCGACAGCGACTGGGAAGGAGGCGCGAAAAAGTATGCTATAAAATCCGTATGCTCGCTGTCACCTCTTTGCGGGAGTAATATGTAAGTGTGTTTGTGTATGTGTGGAGCGCCCATTTTCATGTGTCTTGCACCATAGACAGGACATGAAAAGCGAATGAAACCATTAGGGAGTTGGCGTCCAACAGTGATTCGGTTTTTGGATAATTTGCGGTTTTCCCTTGGCCATCCAGAAACAGATTTTTGGGCAATCGTTTTGAAAAACCATTTGGTTTCAGAAAGAATTTGTCTTTATTTTGACTTTAAAAAGGTTCAGCTTTTTGCGGATTTGTTTATTTTTAATTGTCAGCAGCTGGAATTTAATATGTTTACTGAAATCTGGTAAGGTTTTACTAGATTTCTACGTAAACACTTAAACAAAGCTGTTTCTACCTCAAAATTTATAAATTGAACCAAAGAAAAAAAATATTTATAGCTCTCTTCTTAAAAAGTGTAAGTTGTATGCACCCACAAATAAATTTTAATTGCAACTGTCGACTGCAATGAATACTTTAATTATTCCTTTACTAAAAACTTCAACCAAAAAAAATGTTTGCAATAAGCTTGCTCCAGTGAAAGTCACGAACTTTCACTCGTTTAACTTTCTCACACTTTGCAGCAATACTTGCTTGCCCCTCTCTCACACTTTTCGGTTGCAAAAATAAATATTTTAAAAATATTCATATACGAGAACGTATATATATATATATATTTTTAGCAACATTTTGTTGCAGCAAGCGACTGGAGAGCCATTGAAATGAAGGCGCCGCATGACATCCACCGTGGAGCTTTTGGCACATCCGAAATAGCTCCTTTGATGCGTGAACCGATGGAGCTGTGCCCCCCAGGAACCGGAGCAGGGTCCTCGAAATATATTTATTTATTTTTGTTTAGTTGCGTGGCACGCACAATCCCGCTGCGGCCATAGAAGAAGATTCCACGGGTACAGCACAGCTTCTGGATTCTGGATCTCTGCACAGTGGATACAGGGAATCAAGGTAACAATATCTAAAAACTGATTCATTTTAATGCAGAAATATACCTATATCTCATACTAAAAGGAGTCTATGAATAATGCACAAAAAGATTTTCTAAAGATAGATTTTAAAATTTTATCTAAATTTATTTGCTTATGTTTACATTCACTAAACATCTTTGCAATGTGTAGATATTTATATAAAATGTACAAATAAATATACATCCACCGTATTCCCAATATAAAGGACCTTCCTATTCCTGCTGCTGCTACTGCACGACGGGTGGCCAATTTTTGGGTAGCAACTTGCCGCCATACATCAAAAATCTTTCACTCACTTTCGGCTGCCACTGATGCGCAGGCAATAAAATATTCATTTGGCTCCTTTTCTCTGGCGCGGGGCGATGCAACTTTCAAAGGAGTTCGAGAACGGGGGAGGTCCTGGGAAACCCGCCACGCCCTCACCATTCATGTCCTGGCATCGGGGATTGACACTCCAGAGCGGCACCCCTCATAAAAAATGTAATTTCCAAACAGTGGAAGAACACACACAAAAAAAAAATGTATGCATTGCCAGGAGAAAGGTTGTGAGTTTGAAAATAAGAAAAACATTTGAAAATTTCAAATTGAATTTGCCGCACGCTTGAAGTTTTGCGTTCGCCACCAAATTTGCTGGCGCACCCATCCCCCCACCAGTCTTCCCGCCAGCGTGGAATGTGTATGCAAAAGGCGTTGCCAAGATTACCAAGTGAAAGACCGAAAGACCAGCCGGCACACATAAAAGCCGGCGGTGTGGGAGGGAATGGGTGGGAGGAGCGGCTTTGAAACATGGCCAAAAGTGTAAGTGACATGAAAGCGAGCACACAAAGCGCGCACACACACACAAAACCTTTAATAACTTTACGCTTTTTGTTTTCAAGTGCACTCCACAGTGGCCACGCCCCCCTCAGTACTAAAAATGCCGCCTACTAAAAGCAAAAAACAAAAGGACTTGCAACTTCCCCTTTGAAGTTAGAAAGCGCCTTGGTTTTTGTATTTTTGTAGCTTTAAAATGCTAAAAAAAATAAACTAAAGCGTAGATAATACAGGGGCAACGTAAATTATGTAATTTGATTAATTGTTAATATTTAATTTAGAGTACCCTTTTTTTTAATTGCAGCTATATCTATAGGTTAAGCTCAGTCTATCTCTAAGTATATCTTTTTTAAGGCCCTAAATTAACCTGAACACTGTGCTTTGTTATATAGAAATATTAATTATTTAACAAATATTCTCCTCAGTTTTTGTTATACATTTAAGATTAATTAATTGTTATTAAAATAAATACATTTTAGAAACTTCACCTTTTAAAAGTAATATTTTAAAAATTATTTAAAGTCTCTGCCTATTTAAGTAACTCCACTAACCATTTCGCATTATTTTCTATATCACGTTTTATTTTTCATATAGACTATATATTTTTTACAATTTTTTTTGTAGCTGTCCCCTGCCTTCTTCTGAGACCATTCAATTTGTAATTTATGACCTGTTTATTGTCAATAAATGCAGCCTCCAAGCAACCATTTTGTGTGCGCGCCTAAATAAAGACAAATGGAATGCTCATTTTCGGTGGGTGGCGCCCAGCAAATATCTAAAATAAATACATATAAATATATATATCTGTAGGTGGTTGGGTAATAAGTGGCTGGAAATTGTCTCCAAAACAGTTTGGACTGCTTTTCGGAGGCTTATAAATATAATTTATGGCCACGTCCAGTGCCACATTAGTCAGGCGAAATTTGAGGCTAAAGCTTAAAGTTGTCAAAGGCGACACCGAAAAGTTCGAAGGATTCTCCTCCGAGATGACAACACTATTCTTGATGGTGCTTAATTCTGAATAATCACTTGCAGGGAAAACATTGTAAAATTGTAATTATTGAATTTTTTAGAATTATTCATTATTATTTTTAAATAAATAATGAACATTTATAAGACATGTGAGTAGGTTAAGCCCTTGTATAACCGTTTAAAAAAAGGATACTTCATTTGTCAAAAATTATATTCGTTTGTTTATATTTTTAAATTATTATTATAATATTTATATAGATCCTGGTTCCACTTTTTCACAATTTAGATTATTGTTGTTATACCCATCAGGATATTATAATTTTAGTCAATAGCTTATAATTCTAGGAAGAGTCATTTCCGACCATAAATTCTTAATCAGCACGAAAAGACGAGTTGACCTAGCCATCTCAGACATAAATAAAAATTTTCGAATTTTTTTTTAATTTTAAGCGATTTTATCGTTAAAAAATTGATGAAAAATTTATTTTTTTTACATTTAAAATTGAGAATGCAGTTTAATTAACCTAATAAAAACCTACATAGGCCTGCCTTCCGAATTAAAATTAAACCTTTTTTTAATAAGATGTGAGGTTTTTAAACTTTGATTTTTCTCTATAAATATTTATTCAAACATTGCTTATGTTTGATTAATTTCCGATTTGATCCTATAATTAATTTGCAGAATGCAATCGTATATCAACTTGGGCTTCCCTAGGGTAGTTTCCATTCTTGTTTTTTTTTACCGTGTTTGTGAGGAAAACTTACTTACGGAGAAGAGGAAAACTAACACAGACTTTTCCTTCAGAGCTTTACATTTATTTCACAAACCTGTGGTAAAAAGCTCTCAATTCTCAATTTCTAGAACAAGTAAAACTCTATTTTGTTTACCTTAAAAAATACAAAATGTAACAAAAGTTTTAAAGTGAAATACTATGTAAAAGTAATAGCAGGTCCTTCAAAAGTATTTAAGCCGTATTAATACATTTAACAACTCGAAGTTGTAGATATTTCCATAATAATTCATAAATATAAAAAACAAATTTAAATTTCAGTATTTTAATTGGGTCTCATTTGTGTTCCCAGTATTTATTAATTTTATTTAAGTATACATTTTACAAAAGTTTCAATAATATATATATATTGATTTAACTACGTTGACCATTTTAAGTTACTGATCACATCAGTTGAAGGCAAAAAATTCTTGAGTGAGTTTTCATTGTTCATTTTTTTTTTGTTTTTGTTAATTTAAGTACATAAATATGTGGCATACAGAAGAGTTTTGTATTCTCCTCGACACCTGCTTACATCGGTTTTGTTTTTGTTTGTTTGCATAGAAAACTAAGTACAATAGACAATAGAAAAATACACTTGACTATGTAAATTCACATACATATTAAAAACGAAAATAGAGTAACCCGACGAAGGCGCGACTGGCTTAATTATTCTCGCTTAGCCTAATGAACATTTATCTGGTATTTGCTAATTTCTGGGATTTATTCATCTGGTAATTAATTGTTTGTTTTACTTTGTAGTTGATGCTTTTTCCTAGCCATGAGGTAGTGGATTTTTTTCGACCGCCAGTGGCTTAAAGCTACCATTCAAGATTTTATATTTCTAGGTTTGTTTTGTTTTGTTTGTTGTTTTAAGGGGCACACACACTTCCATTTGAGTTTCGTGGAGTTTCAAGTTTGACATTCGTGGATCTTAAACTAGGTTGGCATCCTTGGCCATGCTATAGAAGGCCGACTTGGGATTGTCCAGGAGCTCTGTGGGCGAGGCGAACTCTGTGATCTGTCCCTTGTCCAGCACAATCACCTTGTCCGAGTCCAAAATAGTGTTCAAGCGATGGGCAATAGTCAGCACGGTGCACTCCTTGAACTCCGTGCGGATTGTTTTCTATAATAAAAATATAAATAATTAGTTTATGTGGTAAATAATAAATATTAGAGAATTCTAACCTGAATCAAATCATCAGTTTCCAAATCCACAGCGGCTGTGGCCTCATCCAGCACCAGCACCTTGGTCTTTCGCAACAGAGCACGGGCCAAACACACCAATTGGCGTTGACCAACCGATAAATTCTCACCACCTTCAGCAATCTCGTGGTTCAGGCCAGCGGCCAAGCTCTTAACAAAGGACTTCAGATGGGACAGCTCCAAGGCCTTCCAGATCTCGTCATCTGTCTTGATCTCGAAGGGATCTAGATTGATACGTAGAGAGCCAGAGAAGAGGACAGGATCCTGAGGGATAATGGTGAGACGAGAGCGGAGCATGTGCAGACCCATGGTGGCAATGTCCACGCCATCGATGGAAATGCGACCACCGGCAGCTTCAATGATTCTAAACAAATAACATAAATATTAGGATATTTAACAGAATATTAATTTACTTTCTATTCTTTCTATTTTTCTTACCTGAACAAAGCCAGGGTGAGACTGGATTTACCGGCTCCTGTGCGCCCCACAATGCCCACCTTCTCGCCACCCTTGATGTTGAAGCTAACGCCACGCAGAACCAGATCCAGGCCCTCGCGATATCGCACCTGGAAGTTCTGGAACTCGACACGTCCCTCCTCTGGCCAGTTCTTGGGCTTGCTCTTGTCCTGCTCCAGTTCCCAGGCAGCTTCCTGTTTGGTCTCACCATACTCCTTAATACGCTCCACGGACACAATGTTCGTCTCAATATCTGAGGTCATGCGCACCAACCAGTTGAGCGTTTGGGTCACTTGCAGGGCATAGCTCACAGACAGACCCACCAAACCGGGATTGGTTTGACCGCCGAGGACGGCAAAGAGCGAGGCAAACAGGATAATCAGATTTCCCACCATTTCCAGACGAATGGCCAGCCAACGGTTGGCAATCACAGAAGGATATTTGCACACTTGGTTCTTGTCCACCTTGGCATCGGATTCGTCAATGAAGCTGGAGATAATAGAGGAGATTAATAGTAAAATATAATATTAATATATCAGTATAAACTCACCGATTTCCCACGTCGTACGCACGAATTGTTGAAGCTCCGGTGACTGTCTCACTGAAATGCGAGTAAATGGGAGATCGGGATACGGATTCCAAACGCATCAGCTGCCGTGATGTGGCCACATAGAACCGTTGGGCAAAGTAGTACAGGAAGGCAATCGGCACGATCACGGCCAGGAAAATGGGTGTGGACATACTAATAACCACAATCGTAGCCAGAACCTAACCAATAACAATGAATCAATATTAATATATATAATTCTGAGTGCGGAAATCGATCTAAGGTGCGAGGAGATGCTGGGGTTAATAGGAAAAAGTATGATGAACGGAAAATTGTAATGAATTTGTTGCCTTTCTTTTTTATATTTCTTTTGGATCAAACGCAACTACTTGATGAAAGGGAAATCAAAGGGTATATCAGGATAAGGCGCCGCCAATTGGAGGAATGTTAACCTGGGTTAGTCATTGGATATATGCACACAGATTGGGGGTTACTTCCGATGGGTTTGTGTACACTTTGTAGCAATTTGAAGACAGTTCCTAAAGTGCCTAGTGCAAAGGACAATTACCTCGTACGCACACCAAATGCAATCGTTAATGACTTGCGGCATTTTCTGGTCAACCGACTCAATGTCTTTCGAGAATCGGGACAACATGCGACCCACCGGCGTTGTATCGAACATGGACATGGGTGCCCTGAGCACATTCTTGAGGAGCAGCGAGTGCAGCACAATGGCGGCATGCAAGCTGCCCAGAGCCGGTGCCAGGTCCGAAACGAATGAAGAGATACCTGCGATTATGCAATTCGGTACGAATGATGGATTAAATATCGATCTCGATATTGGATACTAAGAATCCAAATCGTTGGGAAATAGGCGCTCGAGAAAGGGTTCTTCGAGTAGGAAAATCGTCTAAGAGGTAGCCCAGTCAAATCCGTAGATTGTTTCGGAAATAACTTGCACTCATAGCTAAATACTTAGTTAAATTATAATACAAGCAATATTATTAAACTTTATTTTGTGATCATTGAAATAAAGCTTAAAGCTGAAGCTTGTTGATTAAAAGATATGAAATCTCAAATATATATTTAAGTTCGAGTGCCTTTTAAATACTTTGTTGGCAATTACTTTTTCTATATTTTTAATTACTTTAAATACTGGATTGCTAAATATTCAGTTTTAACGAGTGTTTAGGCTCTCTAGTTCCGATTTTCAAATATAAAAGGGTAGACAGACAGCCACAGGAAAAAAGAATCTTATATTATGGGATTAAAGTTGAACGAGACACAACATGCGCCCGCCCCGTAAAACCCATCCAAATATATTTACAAACTACTTTTTTAGAAATGTGCCATAGAGAAACCCTCAAATTGCTACGAGCTGGGAGTTTGTACAATATGAAATTTGTATAATTATGTTAGTTGCGATTAGTTTTGAAAACAAATCAATTATTTTAATGTATTTGCTTTTGGTGGTTAGTCACAGCGCACATACCCGAAACACTTGCGAGTTAAAGACGCGTATTAATTCTGGCAGGACCAAATCCAATTTGTATATATCGTTGGCCAGACGATCGAGTATACGTGCCCGGGGTTGAATGTCGAAAAAGGATTGAGGGGCTCGCATAATGCGGCTCAATAGGAAAATAAACATTTTCCGGGCACCAATTAAAGCGCCTAGGTATACTATAATCACACTGCCTATATAGGTGAAGACTAGGAATTGCGAAGGGAATATATATTCATATGAATCTTGATCAATTTTGTAATTTTATATGGGAATCACTATATAAACCAGGGACAGGAGTTAGGATACAAACTTAATTTAGAGGGTTAGTTAACGAGATTTTTGGGTACGATACAAAAAAGACTTGTACAAAGGAGTAAACCCTACAAAGTGGAATGAACCTAAAGAACTGATATGAAATTAATTCAATTTAAAATATTTTCAATAGCATGCCAACAAAATGAATACCAATTGCTTGATCACTTCTCAACTCTTCTTGTGTTTAGAAATAAGAAGAAATAAACTAGAAAATCTTTAAAAGAAAATCTATTTAACTTCACTCAAACTTCATCTACTAAAAAGATTACCTGAAATGCTGTGCTCATGACCATTCTTATATTAATCGGCATTATCAGATCCAAACAGTTGATATCATTCGAACATCGATCCAAGAGACGACCTTTGGGCGTTATATCAAAAAACTCAGAGGGACAATGCATAATGTGGTTAAAGAGTCGATGGAATACTCTGGATGAGGCGTGCAAGGTGGCTGTGAAAAGGGCTATGGCGGCGCCGTAATTGCAAATTCCTAACACGATTCAATGGGTTCATTAGACAGGTAAGAAGAGAGAGATCGAATGAGATAAAGAGAGATATCGAACGTTAGAGATAATGTATATATGTGAATGGGGCAGAACTTTCTATAACAAAAGTTCTGCAGGTACAAACCGTAGTAACTCTTTTAAAGGCTACAAATCAAAAATTTTGATCATAATAATAATGATAATTATAAACAAAACAAAAGGGAGAGAAAAATACTGGAAAAAATTTGAATTTCTGGGAATATCAAATATGCAAATACCATAAAGATAAAGGTCATAAAGGAGTCCATGGTAGCGGGCAACTCTTCATCAATAACATCCATATCGCCGCTAAAACTGTTCAAGAGTCGCCCGATCGGAGTTATATCGAAGAATCGGCAAACGGAGCCACGGATAACGATGCGCAGCAGATCGTTGTGAATGACCTTGGCCGCATGGAAGCCGCCCACGTAGACGATCACCACAGCGAAGTAGGCTAGCACACCTGGTTTCAATCGGAAAGGGGGTGTAAAGAGCGGAACACAGGTGTGCCCGAAGGGAACTCGATCAATATGTATATATGCTTTTGAATGGGGAAATCGATTATTTTAATGAGGCGATCATCTCCTACATTATCGTCTATCCACAACGAAGCGTAATGGCAGCACTTCCACATATAACCAAATGTCTTAAAGTTAGGGGCTCCGAGACCAGTATATCGTCAGAGTGTTTTATGTTTAACCCATAGCCCCCTGATTAGGATTGGGTTTAAACTAAAAAAAATGGTTTTTAAAGTTCCCCTTTCGGGCTTTCGCACACACATAATTCGCACATTAAAATTAAGGCGATGTTTGCTAACTAAATGAGTCTCTTATTCAAGTAAAAATGTTCTTTTGATCCAAAAAAAAAGAAAGGCAATAAATGTTTGAAGCTGGTGGGGAATGTGGGATCAGTGGAAAGCTGGAAAAGTTATGTGGGGTTTGTTAGGGTTAATGTCAAATGGTTTGGAAAAAGTAGTGTCTTTAAATATTCTAAAAAATGCTGAAATTTGTGAACATTAAATGTGAAAAAATGTTTAACATACAGTTAATTTTAACTGCAGATAAAGTGGTATATATAAAGTGAATTTAATGTATTATCAGAGGTAAATTAAATGAAATCTATGTGTATAAAATGATTTAAAAATAGCATAATGATTTTATATGCTAGGTTTTAAGGTGAAAAGTACTAAGGATGTTTGGGATAAGGATTTGGGATATTTTGTATACATGTATAAGGAAGCCAGATTAAGGGTTTTAGGTTCAACTAGGAAGTGATTTAGATTAGGATGTCTTGGGAGGAAATTTGAACTGTGGTTAGTAACATAAATAGGGTTTCAGGGCAAGGCTTTAGGCAACTCGCAGTTCCATTCAGCGGTCAGCGGGGATATGTTAAAGGTTAGGATAAAATCTTTACCCCGAAACACGTGTTCAACAACTGAACAATTATCAAGGGCAGCACGCCATCAATCGTGTCTATATCCTTTGAGTAGCGACTCAAAATGCGACCTATCGGCGTCGTATCAAACAGTTCCATGGGCCACTTGAGCCCCCTGTTCAGCAGCCTGTTGAATACATCTATGGAGCTGTGAAGGCATCCGAGGGCCAAGGCCAGACCCGATAAATACTTAGCCAAAACTGCATGGAATGTAAATGGGATTTTTAGGTTCTCTGAAGTTTACCATTGAGAAGGATTACAAATGAAACTAATTTACTAAGAAAAACAAATAAATTGAACTCATCATGCCGCTAAGTTTGTGTTTGTGTAAGCCCCCAAAAAAGGTTAGTAATCTTATTTATATGTACATATAATTTTACACAACATTTAACGTTGGAGTTAGTGCCAAATTGGATTACTTTCTTTTCACATCTGCAAACGTGCAATATATTAGCGGGGGACTACTTGAGGAAAGTTTTTGGTTTTAGCTGTGAATTACCAATTTGGGAAATATGACTAATTAAGTCTGCAGGAAACATAGATTACTACAGTATGCAGGAAAAGAAATATTTTAAGACAGTCTGGGGAAAGCTAAAATAAGCTGAATGTTGTGTGGAAACTCCTTAAATTGCCTGACCCTTAAAGCCTTGTTCTGATATATAGATATGGTTTGAGATTCTGATTCTTTAAAAGGTATATAGGTGCTCATAAATAGATAAGGGTGTAAGTTTTTGAGTATTTCATAGTTACAAGTCAGTGGAAATACTTAATAATCCTTTTTTAAATCCTTATCTATCTATCCAACTGACTTATAACTTTGATTTATAACTGAAATGGGTTGGAAAATTACCGCAAAGGCTTGACTGATCACCATGCGCCACAACATGGGCAGGATATTGTCTATGGTATCAACATCCTTGGCAAAACGATTGACCACACGACCAATGGGAGTGGTATCGAACAGTTCCATGGGCCAGCGGAAGACGTAGTAGAGAAGCGTCTCATGCAAGGTTTTGGAGCAGTAAATGCAACCAAGAGCCAGCGTGAGCGAACAAAAGAAGTATGAGGTAACTGAAAATTTAATTATTTATTTAATCTATATTTCCTTTTAAACAAAATTACTGAACTAAATAAAAGCGTGGACAAAACAGACTAAAGAACTTTAGTGCCCTACAACCAATGTGCTCATCAACCAATTGAGACTGTGATTTTTTCTATAAAACCTTTAGTCTTTAAACAAATATAAATTCTCACAGACACAATTTTCTGACACACTTCTCTAGTTAAATCCTCTATTTTATCCTAACCCTTCAAGTCTTTCTCTGGCTATGATGCAGAAATATTATTAAAGAATTACCGCAAAGGCTTGACTGATCACCACACGCCACAACATGGGCAGGACATTGTCTATGGTGTCAACATCCTTGGCAAAACGATTGACCACACGACCAATGGGCGTGGTGTCGAAGAGCTCCATGGGCCAGCGGAAGACGTAGTAGAGAAGCGTCTCGTGCAAGGTTTTGGAGCAGTAAATGCAACCAAGAGCCAGCGTAAGCGAACAGACAAAGTATGAAAAAACTGCAATTTTAAATAAATATTTAAACATCTTGATTTTTAACGAATTACAAGAGAAGCTATGACCCCAAAGCGTGGACAACACAGGACCTACAACTTTGGTAACAAAAACAAGAAGCCTACTCAGCCAAGGATTGGGATTCGAGGGGAATTTTGGGAGGATTAAATGATTTTATCATGGATAATTACCACAAACAATTGCATAATGCCGAACCGCAAATTTAGTGGCAGGGTATTGTCAATAGTGTCGATATCCTTGGAAAATCGATTCACAATGCGACCAAGTGGCGTGATATCGAACATTTCCATTGGCCAACGCATTGTGGCCATGAGGAGGACGTTGTGCATATACCTAGCACTGTAGACACAGCCCAGGGAAAGGATCAGGGTTGACAGATACCCGGCAACAACTTCAAAATGGAACGAAGATAGAAACGGATATATAAATAAGTGATCCGATACCGCCACAAAAAACCTCTTGCCCCAGGCGACGATGGAAGTTGGTTAAGGCGGAATCTTATTTTTTAAATTTATCGCATATTTGCATAAATAAATATTAACATTACGAATTTACAAATTCTTGCTAAAGTGAAAGAAAGATTCCGACTCAACCATTATTTTTAGTTTAGTAAAAATATTATTAGTGGATTTCTTTTAGGATGCATAATGAACCAAGCCATGATATATATAGGGTGAACTGATTTGATTTCTTTGAGCCGTGCTTGAATTAATTTAGTTTGTAGCATTTGCCATGGCATCTACTCTTTCGATCTGAACCCAAATCAATTACCATGAATGCCTGGCCCAAAACGACACGGATGTTGAATGGCAGGACATTATCTATTGTATCGATATCTTTCGAAAACCGATTAACAATGCGTCCCAGCGGTGTTGTATCAAAGAGTTCCATTGGCCAGCGGAGATTGAAGTACAGGAGGGTCGTATGTAACACCCGTGAGCACTCGAGACAACCCAATGAGATGGCGAGGGATGAGAAGAAGTTCGTGGCGACTAAAAATTTTTGTAATCGATCGTGTTAACGATAATAGCGATTATTGGTTTTTTGCTTTGTTTTGTCAATTACAGTTGGAGGATTAAAGTTTACAGAACGTAATGTAAAATATAAGAAATGCACACATTTACTCACACACACATACACACACAAAAGGAGAACTGTTAGTTACGCAAGGTTAGTAAATTGTTTCGATTTATATTGAAATCGAGGACAATCGATAACACCATCTAGAATATATTTTTTCTACTGTATAATATTAATAGTTCTTATTAATATCGAAAGCCTTTTGTGTTCTGGTGTTTAAGCGTGCAGGTATATAAAGAGTTTCTATTTTTTTATAACGTGTAAGTGTTTTTAGCATTGTGTGTTTTGCGTGTGCTTTTGTGGTAAGCCAAAGTTTGTGGGGATTAGTTTATTATATATCGAGAGGCTGAGAACTGAGAAGTTTATGGACAGAAAAGTCTTAAATGATATACTAACAAAAATATTGCGCTTAATATCACATCGAAAATAGCGTATTCTTTGGTATATCGTAAAATGTCATTTATCATTAAATAATCGATATTGTTTGAAATATTCGACATTTTATAATTTTTATTGTTTTCCAATTATATTGCTTCGATATATTAAACAGAATATTTTTATTTTTTGCACATATGTATTATTAATATATCAACTTGAAACTTTCGCGTCAAATATCAATACTAAATCGATATTTTCTAAGGTCCCTAGCTGAGACTAATCAAAACCGCCTATTGAAAGCTGAGCAGCATGTGTCCTCTCGGCGCCAGAGTTAGAAGCAATCAAATAAGCAAAAAACATAAATTATAACCCCTTGAACCAAACAGATATAAAAGCACATAAACACTTAAAAATTAAACAAAACAAAAAGATGGTATCAATGAAATAAAACAAAAAACCAATTTTAAAATATAACGTGTCAAATTGAACCGTTGAAATTCTTGAATTCTTTTGCTTCAATTTATGCGAATTTTATGCTAATCTTTACAAATAAAATAGCAGTTAAACTGGCTTGTTAAATGTGATATTCATATCCATTAAGACCATCTTTTTGTAAGCTAACTTTATAACATTTAACAAATAAAAATCCATAAACCATAACCAAAGGCTTTAAATTAAAAAGAAAGCATGCAAAACAACTTAAATTAAAAAACAAAATGGACAAAACGAACATGAAACAAGTAAAACTTCAAACGAAGAATATCAAAATTAAATCGAATCACAATGGACTCACCTTGACCAAAGCCGAAGGCACCGTAAACACCCAGATACATGTCCCTGAGGCCTGTGTCGTTGCCAACATTGTCATCATTGGCCCACTTGGTGAGCCACAGATTAGAGCCGATTTGGAATGCTTGGAAAACGAAGTTGAGGACGAGCGTGGCGACCGATAGGAAAATGCCAACACTCTTGATGTAGTGCTTGTACACTGCAAACTCAACGCCGCCGGTCTGTGCCTTTTCCGTTTCAATCAGCTTGCCCTCGACCTCTTGCTTCTTTTTCAGGGAAGCGGCCGAAGCCACAGAGTCGTGGGAGTTTTGGCGTTTTGTCCGTCTACGAAGGCTTCCATTTCCACCACCCATCAGACTGTCAGCGGAGGTAACAGAGCTAGAAATATACAAATTATGAAAGGCATACCGTTTTCAATTAATTATTAATTTTAGTTTACTTACATGGAATCGGACAAGCTTTCCGTGCGCGCCAACTTAATGGCCTTCTCGACACTGCCTAGCAATTCAGGGACATCACCGGTGCTGGAGATCTGTCGCTTGATCTGGTTAAGCTCCTCCTCCTCTTCATTGCCATCTTGCAGATGCTGGATAATGAAGTCGGCGAAGGCGCCCTTGTTCTTAACCAACTGGTCAAAGGTGCCGCTCTCACTGATCTCGCCCATTTTCATCACATAGATGCTGTCCACCTGGGGCAGGAAGGTGACGCCATGGGTGACAAGGATGCGGGATTTGCGGGCAAGCACGCCCTTGGGTCCGATCACTTCCTCGAAAATGTGCTTGCCAACATGGGCGTCGACGGCGCTGAGTGGATCGTCCAGCAGATAGAGATCGGCATCGCTGTACACGGCACGGGCCAGGGAAATACGCTGCTTTTGGCCACCTGAGAGATTAATACCCTTCTCACCGATTTCCGTTAGATCTCCCGCCGACAGAATGTCAATGTCGGCACGCAGGGCGCAGGCATCGATGACCTTGTTGTATCGTTTTCGGTCGTATGTTTTGCCAAAGAGGATGTTGTCCCGCACCGTTGCATTCTGGATCCACGCCTGCTGGGGCACATAGGCCAGCTTGCCCACCGTGTTGACATTGCCAGCAAGTTTCTCCATTTCGCCTAAGAAGGCCTGGACAACCGACGATTTGCCGGAGCCCACGGTGCCCACAAGGGCCACCAAGTTGCTCTTGCGCACTTCAATGTTGATGTTGCGCAGCGTGATCTCGTCGCCCCAGGAGAACTCGCCATTTTCAATGGTCATAGGATGGGCTGGAATAGAATTCAATCATTAGTATTTATAATTTATTTTAAATAAATGGTATTTCTTACGTTTGGACGAATCATGGGTCACGCTGTTAGGGTCCAGTTCCTCACTGTTCAGGAACTTGTTTATACGCTTCACAGAAACTTGCGTCTATAGCGCACATGAAAATGATAAATCGATTAATATACTATGCACAATCAACTGGCTTTTAAACACAGAGTATAAGTTAGTAGGTCTTGGGAAAAGGGCAGGTATGAAAGGGAGGAAGATGACCATAAAATAAATTAATCCAAATTGCAATGAATGAAAAATATCCTCGGAGTCTGCCGAGAGCTTTAACGCCCCTGCAGAACGGCGAGAGAGTTTAAGGGGCAACTTTAAGAAATTATTGTAAGAAATTAATTATATAAGACATTATTATAAATCTCCTCAAAAGTGAGCTAAGTTGATTAATAAAACGCCAACAAATAAAATTCCTTGAATATTTTAGTCAATACCCAAAAACCCACACCCTTCTTTCAAAGCAGACAAACCCTCGTGACATTAAAACCTATAATTAAAATCCCCCATTAAGGGCCCTCTGCAAGGGCATGTTTAGAGAGAAAAAAACCCAAACAAATGGTTGCTATCGAAACGGATGGAAGTAGAGGATCCCCACAACCATATATATATGCGAGAAATCGGAACTGGTTTGGTTCGGACAACTTTAAATCCCAGATGAATGAGATGATGCAAAATTTAAATTGAATAATAATGAAACCAAGAAATGAGGGATCGGGAAACTTTGGTTAAAGGGACAATTCTCGGTGTAAATTCTTTGCTAAAAAAATAGAATTCAAATTGAGTAAATAAACATAAATCACAATCACAAAACGGCACAAAATCACCGATCACAGAGGGGCCAGGAATCATAGGAATCATCATAATCCACAGCCCCACTGTGATCGGATATAAGTGGATAGAACTTTGGTATTGTAATCGGGCGTAACTTACTTGTACCAGGTTGGTGATCAGCATGGGCAACATTGTTAACGGAAAACGTAGGATGTTGAATAATGATAATGAGACAAAGGTTTTTGTGGCATCAAGCACGTTATTTTCATCGATTAGAACGTAAGTGGCGAATGTAACTAATGAGACCTACGAAAAAATAATATACAATATGGTTTAAGGCGTTGCTAAAAATGTCATTTCTTGATCCATTAGATTTTGTTGGCAGGAATATGGAATTAGGACAGGCAGTGATGCACCATAGCCGAAGAATTGAAGTTGATTCCGTCATCATCATTATTTGGCGCTTCCATACCTCGGCTATGTCAACACTCAGCATAGGCAAGACGGTCAGCGGAATTTTCATGATGTCGAAGAGGGCGAGTGAGACGAACACCTTCTCGACGCTCAGCTGATTCGCCTCGCTGACCAAGACGTAAGTTGCGAACGTGACCAGGGAAACCTTTTTGTAATTGTTCGATCACACACATATTTGCCAGATTAGTCCACTTGCCATACAGGGTTCCACCACTCAATCATCATTATCCAGTTTGGCTGTAAAGAGATTCTCGAAGGACTCAGAGCCCTGCGGGGCTGGCATATCTTACCAGGAAGGGGGCGCAGGACCAGAGGAACGAGGTTCCGGCATTCAGATAAGCAGTAGATCTCAGAGTCGCAATTTCCTTGTCACGAATATCCAGCACTTGCTTCTCGAAGCTTGGCTCCCAGGCGTACAGTTTCAGGACCTTTTGAAAGAACATATATTTTAGATATTGTTTTATATTTAATCGTACATATTAGAAAAATGACAAGAGTTATATAATTTATTCCAAAGAAGTTCTATAAAAAACCCATAATTATTGACTTGAGGATTCATGGATAAGCCGGATAAGCAAAGCCATACATAAACATGAAAATCGTTAATTACGGGTCAGGTTTTCTTTCCACTCGTAGGTACTCTGCCGTTCAAGTGCTCATTAAAGAGGATTACTTGCAAAACCCTACTATAATGTTAACCTTTCTCTCAGAAAATATACTCATAATCCCCCACAACTCACCTTAATTCCACTGAGGACTTCGTTCATCAGTTTTACACGCTCATCCTTGTACTTCATCTGTCTGATCTGATAGGTCTTGATGCGACTAGCTATAACTCCGTTCACGGGGATCAGGATAATCATCACAGCCAGACCGGCCAACACAGAGGGTCCCAGCTGCTGCCAGAGGAAGAATAGCGCCAAACCGATCTGTAGCGGCGCCGACCAGATCATGTTCAAGTAGGTAGTCAGCTCCATGAAACGTTGAGCATCCACGGCCATCAGGTTGACAATCTCGCCGACGGTAGACTCCTTTTTGGTGGAGTTCGAAATGCGGAGGGCTTTTCGGTAAATGGCATTGATCAAGGCAGTCCTGATCCTCAGGCCCACAATGAACATGCGGTGGAAGTACTGGCCAAGAATAAAGGTTTGGGCAGCGGCCAAGATGAACAGCAGGACGGAATATAAAATTCCCTTCCACTCGGGCTGTGGATCCTTCTCCTGATCCTGCACAAAGCCGATGATTAGACTTAAGACTTGTGGCTGGGCGAAGGTCAAGACATCGGTGAAGAGCTTCATCAGGGCGCCAAACATGAAGACACCGCCGAAGGACTTGTAGATGGGTGGCATAATGCTGGCCATGCCCTTCTTGCGTCCGTTCTTCTCGCCATGAGGATTCTCGAAGGTTACGTGGCCGTTGCTGAACTGAGCCTTAGGCTCCACGCGGGTCTTGCTCCTGTAGTTCTTGCGCACGTTCTGGTTCCAGTGATGGGCAAAAATGGGCATGACCTCAGAGCAGCTGTCCTGCGGTCGCAGATCCCACAGATCCTTCTCCTCAAGGGGGTTGCGGTAGCCCTTAAGCGCCATCCTATCGAACCACTGGTACGTGATCCTGGACAGGAAACTGGCAGACAGTTCGGGAATCTCGTTCTCACCGCGTTGGTATTTTGTCTGTCGAGGCAGGCCGTCGGCGAAGCAGTTGAGGATTAGCATGATGCACGAGAAGGTGAAGAAGATGAAGAAGCTAACGAACTGGTACTCCTCCCAGGAGAAATCCTGCTCCGTAGCTTGCTCAGAGCTCAAGATTTCCTCGCGTTCCTTATCCAAGCGAACTTCAGTGCGGCAGCGCGGGATCGACAGTACGACGAGCAGGAACCAGAACAGGAACTGACAGCCCGTGGTCTGGACGCCGTACTTTCGGTTCAGCGGTATGAACACGAAGAGCAGCAGGAAGGTGGCGAACTTGATGATCGGACCCCACACATCCAGGTCATACAAGGGCAACTCACTGTCGCCGCCCTTTTTGATCAGCGCCATAATCAGATCCAAAGCCGTGATGACCAGCAGGCCCATATTGACCAGGGCCTTGAATACATTCAGCTTGTTCCATGGTATATTTCTGTCCAGGCTCGCCTTCAAGTAGTAGAAGTCGAAGGCCACGAACAGCCAGTAGAAGGCGCAGGGCGTCCATACCAAGGCCGTTTGTTCAAAGCACGGCGTAAAGTCGGGGGTATTGGTATACCATGTCTCCGTTGAGTTCTATTTAGTTACAAAGTCATTAAAAAACTATTAATAAGTACTGGGATTCCTATTGACCGATGGAGGCACTCACCCAGAACGTGGAACCACAGAATCTGTCCATCGAAGAACTTGTGTCCTCCGCCATGGTCACTCGTCGTCTTCCTTGGTACCTACTCCACGTGCACTCCTATATCTTGGGTTATATCTGGCGATGTGGTAACTGTAAATCGGTGGAAAAACAACGGATTATCAATACTGTCTGCTCGCCAGCTGTTTCGTTCCCAAAGCGGGCGAAGCAACAACACCAACCAGCCGCCAATTCCAATTATTTCTTACGTTGGTATTTTTTAGTATTTTGTATGGTACAGTGGGTATTGCTTACGAGTGCCCGCAAGCGAGAAATATTGGTGACATTTATAACAAAATATGTTTAAAAAATTAAATAATATTTCTTTATTTATATTTATTGCTGTCAACATTTACTATTTAATAATTTTCATAAATATATTTAAAATATATATACATACATTATAATAATATGATAACATAAATAAAAATCAACAAAAATAATCTTAAAAAGTTCAATTAATTCTCATAGTCTAATAATTCAGAAGTTTTTGCACACGTATCTGAATAAGTATTAGCGAGTTCTCAAAATTAGATAACAAAGCGACAAATAAAAATAGGTTCGTAATTAAATTTTACTTGAGTATAAACTTAGTAAAAACGTTAAGTTTTAATATATAAACTCATATTAGCTAATTTTGACCAATTCCGCAAAAGCAGCCCACTGTACCACCTGCTTAGTCTTTGGTATTTTATCGGTATTGTGAGCATTAATAACTCTGTCCACACGCGGTCTTACTATTACAGCCTTTTTCCAATCAACACAAGTTGGCAGTTCCGTTTTTATTGTGAGAAAATTTGCGACATTTTTACATAGCCTAACGTGAAAAGAATTGTTAATTTTTGTTTTAACTCGTGACAGGTTGCTAATAGCTTATAGCAGAATGGCGCGTCGCTCAAATTTCATCGAGGGCAACGACAACTTTCGCGAGCAGAATTTGCGTTTTGTGAGGGTAAGCAAAGCACCACCGCCAAGAAGAGGAAGAGCACATTCCAATGAAAACTAAAAATTATTGTTTTTTTTTAACACAGAACGAGTTCGAGGACAATATTAACCAGTTCTTTGGCGGTGCTAATCCGGACGGAGGCAGCAGCCAGCAGAAGCCGCCACCTCGGGACTCGCTAATTGTGCAGCCAACGCCAGGTGAGTGTAGGCAGTCACCATAACCGGAATTTTCAACAGGAAGACGAATCGGCGGGCCGGTAACGCGTAGAATCCGCGGGTGAATCTTGCCGGCCAGGCATGACGCGGCTATCACTTGTGTTCAGCCGGCTGCACCAGCTCGCGCTGCTAATCTCTGCGAGTGCGGAACCATGTCGTCCCAGATAAACATCTCACGTCGCTATCGATTGCGCTTGAGGACGCACGGTACAGTGAACCGGTGATAGGGCGGACATCAAACACGCGTATAGACAGAACTGATAAAGATAAACCCTCTTGTGTACAGGGTCAAAAATAGCGAAGACACGGAACTGCTATGAAGTAGAGTTAATGAAAAACCCAACAGTGAACTCGCGATATACCATACTACTACTAGTATTTACCCTTAAATGCCTAGGATAAACCTTTTTTGTTTGTTAGCGGAAATTGATAGATATTGATGGATGAATACTTATTTTAAAAATATTTGTTTCACTTTCAATACTTAATTTAAAGCATTAAATCATACAAAATTAATTTTAAACATGTTTAGGGTAATGAAAATTGAAAAATACAAATAGAAAGCTTTTTGTATGATAAACAATTAGTAAACATATGTTTATTACATTAAAAACTAAATTCTTAGACTGATTAATCCTTCAAACAATCAGGTTCAAACAAAGAATTAAAATTATCCGGCATTTAAGGGTTAAGTCCCTACCTCTATTAGTTTAGTTTCTAATCTTTTTCGTAATTGTGTGTTATGCGCCGATAAGTGTTTACATGTCCAGGGCCACGTCGCGGAAGGTCCCCTTCCCATCATCGTCGTCATAGTCAACGCGCACCCACTTGAAGCTATAGTTTATTGTCCAACCTGACCAACGACGACGACAATTCACTGTCAATGACAAATTGTGCACCGAAAACGAGTTTTTCCCGACGCGGAGAACCAAACTAAATAAAAACTAAACTTGGCAATAAATAAAAGGAGAACCCACGATGAGAAAGACAAACTCTCGGAGCAGCTAATCTTCAACGGAGCCGAGCAAATTTAGCTAAAGGCGTTGGACTAGTCACATTTTATGGGCGCTAAAAACTTGTTTGCCCGTTTACGCGTGTATTTTAACCATGCTTGTTGCCTGGCTTTAGATAAAATTCTAGCGCGGGGCACCGAAAACGGGTATTATATTCAGTTTTGATATAATTAACGGCGAAACCTGTTGGCGAGCGATTATATAAGCACAACAAAACCCCCTTGACAGCAGCAAACGTAACTGAAATTCCATGCAACAAATTTCTAATTGTTTTCACTCTCTTGAAAACAAATTTCTCTTTTGTATAAAAAAGCGTCGAGTCATGATGAAATGCTACGCGCAAACAAAATCTCAACATTTGTCTGTCGTCTCTTGACTCTCCGATAAAAATGCCGGAAAAAGCATTGCTGGAGAAGAGAAGAAAACTCTGAGCCTTTCTCTCCGATGTTTACCTTGGATTTACCGACGAGCCGGCATAAATTGTTTATACAATTTTTTGCAGCGCAAAATCAACAAACAAAACCGTTGAGAGAAGTGATTTATTTACACGGTATAAAGCACATATTTACAACACTTGACAGGGGGCTGTCTTTATTAATAAAGAAAACTGGAGATAGCGAGTGTTGCACTTGCCTGAATCAGAGAGCAAACTCCAGAAAAGAATAGCTTTTGCTTTATCTAAGAGTTTCTTATCGTCACTATATATGTATACACTACTTGATTCCAGTTTGTTGTTACTCTAATTCTGAATTGCAGTTTATAATCCTAATTACTGGCTCCTTATCGCGCAACACTTGTTTGTTCTAGTTGCTGCTTACAGCATCTTTCTCAGGGCTAAGCTCTCATTATTATAATCATGATGGGCAGAAGCTGTCGAAGCTCTATTAGAGGAGAGAGATACCCACATCTTTCAAGGTCCATATGACGTCAGCAGCACACATACACTCAATTACACACACACACACACACACAAAACTGGTGGAAGCTCACAAAGCAATTAGTTGCTATCGGCGTGTGTAATTTCATTTGAATGAAAACACAAAAACCTTGCACACTTCAATTACATATTATTTTTTATCAATTAAATAATAGCGCTACAAGCATGACAGAACACTAATGCTTATTATCAAACAGAAACTGTTTTTTTGATAATGAATCATCCATCCATTTTCTGAAGGAGGAATGTTTGGCACGCGGGATTCTCTGGAACAAATTCAGGAAATTTCACAATTTCAGGCAAAGCTACGCATACTTTCGCACCCACCAAAAAACTATACAGAAATATATATATATATAACTATTTTCACATAGATACCAACGTACACACGCACGCACACTCTCTGGTTTCGATTTGGACGACGGCGTCGGTGGTTTCGATGCGACTGAAATGTCACTTTATAATTACCTCGGCGTCGGAAAAAAACAATCGCTGCGATTCAAACGGATCGCAACGGAGCGAATAGAATCGAAGCGGACGACGGATGGAGGGCAGTAGTAGTAGGAATATTATAGCAGGAATGGCAGCGGCAACAAAGCACTTGAATCGACGGGACCACCGGCTCGTAACGAGCGCAAAAAGGCAACTGAATTCGAGCCAAGCGCGGCGAACAAACTTATTTGTTTTGCCCTGTCAATCGGACAAAACACAAAAAACAAAAACAAAAGACTGAAAATGAGATAATATAGCCATCGCAGAGAGGGGAGAATAATATATAGAGAGAATTGTATACTCTTTATTTTATTTCTCTGCTCCCCGCCGATCAATTAAAAACTCTGGCAGTTGAGGCTCTCTCGCAAAGCTCTCTCACGGAGCAGGGCTAAGACCATGTTTGGACTGAAAAAAACGCCGTATCATGGCCAGAGAGATAACGCCATCGGTTCTCTTCCACGTATCCCAACGAAAAATATTGGACTTTCCGAGTCTGATGAAATTATTTTCAACCGCGTGCCAAATACCGGCAGAGATTTAGGCAAGCAACAGCGCGCTCCACACTCTTAAACCTTTTGTTGTCACAAGAGTAAAAAAAATGTTATCAGCAGAATTGATAACGATAAAACCTCTGCCGCTGAGCACCCAGTGGCTATTAGGCCCCCAAACGAGGAGCATTTTATTGAGTGTTTGCTTGCGTATATTTTACTTTTTGGTATAAGCATGACCATTATTATTATTATTAGTGTAGCCCAGGTGTTGGGATTGCTCAGAGTGCTTTTGTAGTTTATCAGTTTTTTTTTTTTTTTTGTTCTTGTCTTTATTATATTTGAAATCAATGCAATGGTCACTGGGAAATAGGAAACTCCTCTACAAGGGCTGAGAAAATTCTGGAAATTAAACGGATATGCCCTCTGTAAATATTAAATACACTATAAATAATATTTGATAGCCTTGTTAATCTAATCAATATCGCTGAATGTTTAAAATACAACAACAGAGTATATCACTGATAGGTAAAAATAAAAACAGCAAATATTAACATTAGCAAGCGTGTTTATTGCAAATTTAAAAGCTATTTAGATTTAATTTCAAACATATATTAAATTATTGCTAAAAACTCACAATTAAAACAATTCTAAAGTCAAACAAGTGATTCCATAGCACTGATAAATCAATTTTAAATTTCAAAGCATTAACTAGGTTTTTTAAAATATTTTTCGCTTTATCTTAATTTAATTTGATGTAGATTTATATATCCATTAAATATTAATTTCCAGTGACCACTGCATAATTTATATAATAAACCATCGAACCCAGTATGATTTTCTGCGAGTGAATTAGATCTAATCTATAGAATGTGTTCGATTTATTTTTACATTTATAATTTCATGTGATTTCATGAAATTAAAAGGAACGCTGCCCGATCCCTCGGAGCCGGGTCGCAACATCGAGCTGGATATTCGTCGGCAATTCATTCGCGAGCTGGGCGCCAGCCGGATGACAGCTCACGCCCTCGCAGTGCGTTCCTTCAAGGTGACGGACTTCAATCTGCGTTACTTTCAGCGCCAGAGATTCCGGCTCAGCGTCGAGTTGGGTGATAGTCGTCAGAACATTGTGGATGCCGAGGTGCTCCGTGCCATCGGAGAAGCGGTGGAGAGAAATGAATCGGATCTTACGTCGCAACCACGTACTCCGTCGCCTCCAAGAAACATCGATTGGCATAACATTAGACGAGATAATTCACCGATGGGAAACGATGATCGATCGCAGGCAAGGAATCGTCAAGGAGCAGGTGACTTTCGAGGCATCAGGGACAATCGTAATGCTGGACCGAAAAATGCCCCCAACAATCGATATAATCAGCATCCAAACAGCGATAATCAAAATGCAAATCGAGATGAATTCAATCGTAATTATCGTAACCAAAATAATGATGAATTCAATCGCAGTAATTGTAATCCAGATATTCAGGAATTCAATCGCTATAATCGAAACAGTGATGAATTCAATCGAAATAATCGCATTACGAATCCACAACAAGAATTCGATCGTAATGCAAATCCACAAATGGAATTTAATCAAAATATTCGAAATAGAAATTCAGAAACGAATCGCAACAATCGAATGGTGAATCTTCAGAATCCAAATAATAATCGTAATACGAGCAACAATGAATTTAATCGTAACTCTAATTGGCAAGAATTTAATCGAGATAATCGTCAGGCAAGTCCACAGGATTTTAATCGAAATGACAATCCTCAGGGATTTAATCGGAATCCCCAGATGTACAGTCGTAATATGAACCCTCAACATTTAATCGGAATTCGAGTCCTCAGAGAAATCGGGATCTGCCATTAAACCCCAGAGAAATGCCACCGAATTTTAATAACCTGGGTGCTAATCCTGATGGAAATTTCAATTTTCGTGCTCAACAATCACGAGAAATGCCGCAGAACCAAAACAATCAACGATTCAACAACAATCGAGGGCCAAATCATGGACAACGTAATAATGATTATATGACCAATCTAGAAGACAACCTAGATGGAACTCCAATGATCGATCAACGTCAAGACATTGATGACAACTTTTTGGAGTCCAGGGACCGACCCCATTCTGATTATCGCGAAATGCAACCTAACTTGTCTCCACAAATTGGTCGCAATTATCAGCGCATTGTCAATAATAATCAAATAACCCTTTGTCGTCAAGATTGGATTGAAGCTAATAGAATGGAACTAGATAATCGCAATAGGCCGAATAATCCCAACTTTAATGACAACTTTCGGAGACGCCAATTTGAAGATCAAGATCAAGGTTATAACGATGACCAAATTATGGAAGATAGTGATCGCTTTCGTAGTCAGCAGCAGCAGGATGACTTTGGAAGACCGGGTTTCCGAGGTCCAGAAGATCATGGAATCCGAACATCTTTCAACGAGTTCGAGGGTAATCAGGGAAACATTATAGTTCAGCGGAACAATAATCCTAATTACCATGGACGTGGACGCAACGATCGCAACGATAGGCGTCATTTCAATGATGATAACTATGAGATCGATCGTGCACAATCGAATGACTCTGTCACATTCCGAGGCTCAAATAACTTCGATGTTTCCGCTAAGCGGTATCAGCGGAGATCGGGTTCGGGAGATCGTCATCATTCCCAACCTGCCAATCCCAATCAAAACCGATCTAATCAAGGCAGAAATGCCCCAAATCCCAGACAAACCAATACAAGTCAAGATCAAGCAATGGCCAGGAACAATTATAGTTCAGGTCAAAACCAAAGATCAACTTCAAAAGCCAGTCAAGATCGCAATCCTAAGAAAATCCCAAGTACAGGCGGGTCGAGAACAAATGAAGACCGCATCCCCAGATCAACTTCGTTAGCAAGTCAAAATCGAAGCACATCTGGTGGTGACAAACCTAAACAAGATCGCATTGCTGCATCCAAAAGTGTGAAGCCTGGAGATGCCAACCTAAAGAAACCAATGCAAGCAGGACAAAGGAATCTAGGTGGTGTTAAACAAAATCGTGTCTCGCCCCAAACCAAATCAAACCGATCGGCAAGTGAAGCCAAAACCAACTGCGGTGCATCAAAGACATCTACGTCTAAAGAAGCCAAGTACAATGCGTCTGCGGAGAACGCACGTGTTGGTAAGTATTAATACCCAAAAAGAACCCATTTATATGGGAATGAAAACTGCATAAATTATATATTTTCATGTAGTTTCCAGTTGACATTCCTCAGCCTCCCTAAAATTAGAAAAAATCCTATATAAACCGATTTCAACATTTTTCAGGACAAAAGAGAAAAGTAGAGATCAAAGAGTCCGAGTCGAATCGTCCCTCAAAAGTGGATAACAAACGCAAAAAGATGACCCCGTCGCAACCTGAATTTATAATCGGTGGCATCAGCCTGCCATACATTAATAACAATAACAAGAAGCTGCCACAAAGCGAGGATATGTCTTATGCAGTGACCTTTTTCGAGCAGACTCCGATATATAATACAAACATATATGTCCTCGACCATGGCCAAATGGATGATGCCCATGAAGAGGAGTCGGATGCCGAGTCGCTAGGCTCGAACCAATCAGGATCAAAAGGAAACAAACTGAATTCAAAGAAAATTTTACAAAACAAGCTGAAGAATGAATGGCTGGCTATCTATCGGGGAATAACTACAAAGACTGGTATGCGTGGTGGAAGGATTACAAGTGGTGCGGCACCGAGATCAACAAAGAGCTGGCCAAGTTCGGCGATCGCACTTTGCACGATCGATTTATTCCCAAGTATCCAACCACGGAAATTATGGTCCGCGAGGTCTTCAGATGCGGCCGCAATGGTCTTGAGAAGAATACGTTCAATCACTCTGGCAATATGCGCTCAATTTTTATGATAATGAACGAGACGTTTCTTGAGGCTCTAACCGATGAACAGAAGGAGCAACTGCAGGATCTAATTCGTTGCATTCCAAATCATTTGTGGCTTTATAAGATTCGTAGCATGGTCTACCTCTGGGAGAGGTACCGTAGCATTCTAAAGAACCTAAACGAAAGAAAAATAAACAATGAAAATGAACTCAGAGCCATAGAGCGTGAGTGGAGGGATCCATTATTCCATTGGCTGGCCAAGCAGGCCTTTGATGAACTCAAGGTGAGAAATATTTTATAAATTTTGTTTGTTGCCAGATATAACTTGGTTTTATTGTAAATATCCTTACTAGCATTTATCTTTCCTTCTTTTCTACTTGCAGGCAATCAGCGGAATGGCTTGGCCTGATCACAAAAAATTCTATAACGGCCTAATTTAAACATTTTTGAACAAAACAAGACCTGAAACAAATTAGATTCATTAATTTAAAACTTACATGTGTATCATAGTGTTTCATAAATACGAAATAAATCCGGTTTAGTTTCTTCTCAATCTTTATCTTCAGAATTTATTCAGATAGCTATAAACTTATTCAATTAAAATCTGTCTAATCGGTTTTTCTCTTTATCATTTCCTCACAACAGGAATCTGTGTGAAGAGCTTTAAGGTGAATAGCAATGAGAAGTTCTTTATTAACGTGTGCCAGGCTCCAGAAGTTCCAGCACCCGAAGATGTAACCGAGGAGGAGTTGATTGCCATACTAGAGTCCCCCACTCCGGGCTCGTTTCGAGTGCCCATGAGTATTTCGGAACCGCGGCATACCAAGGATCGTTCCGATAAAACCGTCGATGTCTGCGACATTGCCATCAATCCAAAGTTCCTGGTGAAGATCCAAAAATCACAGCTATTCAACAACTTTTTTCTGCAAATTGTTGCCGAGGCGATGAGCGAGAAGTATAATATCCAAATTAACATGCAGAAGACCATCACACTGAACAATCGCAAGTTCATTGGCACCTTGGTTTCCCATCGAGTGCGCAATGATGATGTTAAGAGAGCTCAGCCAGGGTCTGGTGAAGCTATTGCTGGCCGGGAACTCGCTGCCGGAACATCGGATAAATCCGGAAAGTTGGTCCAGGAGATCAACGAAAAGGATGCGGCAGCAATCAAGAACATTTTTCGGTCGACTGGCGGTGGTCACGAATTGAAGTACAAGCTTCGGGCGCGAGTTCGCGAGGATATTGTTGATGAGATCCATGCCGAGATTTATCTACCCAATTGCGTAAGGCTTTTAATTACTTTTTATTACTGTTGCCGTAATTATTCTTTTCTCTTACAGGTTTCCTCACAGGAGGTTAACTTGGATGTTGGGGAGGATCGCATCTTGGTGGAGTCTCAAAAGCATGGCTATGTCTTTGACAAGTTTGTGAACTACCGTCTGCAGCAAGATCGCGCCCAGGCTTTGTTTGATAAGACCAGCAAGGTACTTAGGAGGAATTGATACCATAATTAAGGAGAAATGTGTTTTTATTAATTTAATTTCTTTCGCTTCAGATGCTGCAGATTCGCATTCCAGTGTTTATCAACTAATAGTTGTTATGCTTGTGATTAGATGTCTAAAGAAGTTTACCAATTGCCTGTGACTATTGAATAATTTATAATAAATTGCTGAAAGGCAGATTGAAATTACGAAATATAACTCGTATGTTGTATTAAGTTTTACAAAAGATTATACTGGGGATTTATGCCACAACAATGTCATAACAATTTTTATACCTTTAAAGGATTTATAATTTCACCTATAAGTTTGTGGAGTCAGTGGGTCGTTTCCGATCTAATAATGTATATATATTCTTGATCAGCATCAACAATGTTCGTATGTTAACTAGTCTCAGTTTTTGAGCTATCAGAATGAAATTGATTTATTTATATTGGAGGTAGAAAAAGGGCAGATCGCACGATTATATATACAAATATATCTTCGCGAAGCCGAAGTTTGCGTTCAGATCATGGATTAAAGGGAAATCGATCATAAACAAAACAAAAATGCATTCGAAAGCACTTCTGTGCTAGTTTTTATTAGGTTAATAAATCTGCATACTCAATTTTAAATTTTAAAATATTACACTTTTTTTAATAAATTTTTGAATTTTTTAACAAAATTATACAATTATAGAAAATTATAAATATAAATTGTAAAGGTGAATGTAAAGAAATTCATATTTTTTAGTTATATTTCAACCCAAAAAATTTGGGATATATTTATGGATAATATTCTAAAATATTATTTTTAATTTCATCATCGAATTACCTAAATATATAGGAGCTATATAAATTATTAATTAAAATTCATCATAACACCCCTAAAAAGCTATGACATTCCCCATGTTATTTCCAGTTTTCAAAACCAGTTTTATTTTTTGAATGCGCATATTTTTTTAAGGAGCTGTGGCCATAAAATAGCATATTAATATTATAATAATATTAAATTTCAAATTCTTAGTTTTAATCAAGTTTTATACTAATTAAATTTGTAAATTAATTTTTAATTGGATGAAAATTGGTTGCTAGTATTTTTTTTCTGACAAGTTAGTATTTTTTTGGGACGCCGTCAGGCATTTCTCTTTTAGCCGGTTTCCATTGGTTGGTAACACTGGTTGGCTTGCTGCGAAAAAATTCGGGAGAATTTGTGTAAAAGGAAAAGTTTGTCAAATTACATCCAAAAGAAAAAATAGCAGCGCAAGAAAGTTCAATTAAGCATCGAATCATTTAACGCCGGGTAAGCAGAATTCGCGCACGCGGATCCGACATGGACTTCCGTCAAATGAAGAACGACGCTTACGGAATTGGCCAGCGGCGTGGAATGGGGAACGCTCTTGGCGGCGGCTTGGGTGACTTTTCCTCGAGTTACAGCGGTGGTGGCGGCTATAATGGCGGCAACTACGGTGGCGGCGGCGGTGGAAACCAGGGAGGCTACGGCGGTAACAGAAATGAGAGTCCGGACTCCGGTAACTACAACCGTGGTGGCGGTGGTGGTAACTTCGATGGCGGCCCTCGCAGCAACAACAACTATTCACGTTCCATAGATGATCGCGGCTTTAATGCCAACATTAACAACAATCAGCGTTTTGGAAACGTCAACGATAACTTCCAGGACAATTTCCGTGGCCAATCGGACAATTTTGGGCCCTCAAACCGCGGAGGAGGCGGTGGCTCTGGCGGCATGCAGTCCAATTTGCAGCCCATGCTGGACTTAGAGGATATGAGGAGCCGCAATACAGGTGGCAACTTCAATTCCGACCTGTCCAACAATTATCGTGGTCAGCAGTCGCAGGGAAGCGGCGACAGATTCTATAATGACTCTCCGCGTAACCAAGGCAATTTTGGCGGCAACTCTGGTTCCAATTACGGACCCAATGATGGGCCCCCGTTTGGTGGAAACAATGACAATTTCCGCAGCCCGCAGCAGTCTCAGAACTTTAATGACCAACAGCGTTCTGGATACAATGATTCGTATGGACGTGGCGGCAATTTTGGTGGACAGAACTCGGGGAACTTCGGAAACCAAGACTCTGGCAACTTCGGAGGAAACTTTGGTGGTCAGAACTTTAATGATAACTTCAACAACCGAGGCTCAAGAGGCGGAGGCGGCTTTAACAATTCAGGTGGCGGAGGTGGCTTCAACAATTCCGGCGGCGGGGGAGGCTTCAACAATTCCGGCGGCGGAGGTGGCTTCAACAATTCCGGAGGCGGCTTCAACAACTCGGGCAGCGAACGCGGACAAGGTGGCTACAACTCAAGCGGCTCTGGTTTTAGCAACAACATTAGTCGCTCCTTTAACGAGGCCAACTCACGCAACTGGAGCAACCAGACCAATCAGTCCTCCTCGTTCCAGAACTCCGGCTATCAGTCGAACAACAGTGGTGGCGGCGGAGGACAAGCTATTTCCGGCTGGGAGGCCAGCCAGCGCGCCTTCAACTCAAAGCGAAATCAGCTGCAGAAGATCAACGTGAACAATGGCGGCGCCGTTCGTAAGCCGGGACCTCAGCAAGCTGCCAAGGCTGTGTACAACATGCGCAATAACCCGAATGCCGCAGCCGCAGTCACCAACGCTGCGGGCCGCAACACCCAACCGAACAAAGCCGGTAACGTGCGTCCAGGAACTGCCGCCGGCGTCCAGAACAAGGCACCCAATCAGTATAAGCTCGTTAATACAGCTACTAAAACGAACAGTGCTGGGGCTGTCCAGAAGAAGCCTCCAATCGCCGGACAAGCTATCAAAGCCAGCCCGGGAGCCGTAAAGGGTGGAACACAGCTTGTTAAGAAGGGTGCGTCGGTAGCTGGAACTGGACATCAAGGGGGAAAACCTGGTCCCCAGGGAGTACGCGCTAGTCCCCAGGGAGTTCGCGCTGGACCCCAGGGTGTTCGAGCTGGTCCCCAAGGAGTACGTGCTGGTGCCCCAGGAGTACGACTGGTCCCCAAGGCGTACGTCCTGGTCCCCCAGGAGTACGACCTGGCCCCCAAGGCATACGTCCTGGTCCCCAAGGTGGACCCGTGCAGGGAATTCCCCGTGGTCCCAAGGCAGGCAATCCCGCTGCAGGCCCTAACAAGCCACCAAATGCGCCAGGAATACCTCCACAAGTCGGTAAGTGTTACTAATACGATATATACCTACGATTTTTTAGTTTAGTTTTCGTGTAAATAAAAATTATAAAATTAAATTGTTTACCTCTTGCAGGGCAAAAGCGCGTTGCTACCGCACCGCCGCTTGAAACGGAACCAGTTTCCAAGTCGGTGAAGAAATGGCGACGCGTGGCCCGGAAGCGTGGCTTCCTTATGGGCGGATTCAAATTGCCGTACCTCAACGACCACCCGAAGAAGCTCCCGCAGCCGGAGTCGGAATCTTATGCCTTGACCTTCTTCGAGCAGGTCTTCAATTACAGTACAAACCAGGAGGCCGTAGACGAGGACTTCTCCGAGGAAGCCTTGCTGCTCAACGATCTATCGGACGATGAGTCTACCGAGGAGGTCAAGGTGGCCCGCAAGGGCGGCAAGAAGAGCAGGAAGCGTATACGAGGCGAGTGGGCACCTCTGCATGAATCAAAGAGTTACAAGGAGTGGAATAACTGGTGGAAGGACTATAAGCAGTTCGGCGATAAGATTGAAAAGAAGCTGGTGGAGATTGGCAATTACAATTTGGAGCATTGTTTCCTACCTAATCTACCCAAGATGACCACTGAGGAGGTGGTGTACGCCATCATCAAGTCGGCCCACTTTGTGCTCGAGAAGAATGCCGATGTGCCGTTTGACACCATGAAGACAGTTTTTACCCTAATGAACCGCACCTTTTTGGAGAACATCACTGAGCTAAATATGCTGGAGGTGCAGGACATTATTCGCAATATACCCAACGATCTCTGGGTATATAAGATGAAGAGCATGATCTTCCTGTGGTCCAAGTACGAGACTATCCACAGTTCCAAGTCCACCGACGAAGAGATAGTCAAGGATCAGCAGTCGACGATCCGCGAGTGGAAGAGCCCCGCTTTCCACTGGCTGGCCAAGCAGGCATTTGACGAGTTGGTGGTGAGTAAAGGGTCTGTGTACATATATAAAGCTTTTACACTATTATTTATCCATTTTAGGCTATTAGCGAAACCGAATGGAAGGAGCACCGCACTATTTTTCCGGCTCTAGAGTAACCGGGCTCGGAAATCCCAAATAGCACACTGTTACTCTTCGTTTCAGCATTCAATTCTACACACACAGACGATTCCCAACATCGAACACACTGCGTAGGTTCTCTTCAGGATTTTTTATGATTCATAAGATTACTTATCTAGATTTTACACCGAACCTTAATCTAAACACTAATTGATGCATCATTCTGACTATATATTGTAGTCTGTAATTAGAACACATTGTTTTGAGCGAAATAAAGGAGACAACCCAAAGGACCTTGCCTTTCGTTTCCTGTGGGCGATACCAAAACGAATACATTGATCAGAAAATTAGAAAGAAACTACTTCCTCAGAGAAAATCAATTCCCGCGTTTATCGGCATAGAAAACTAGCTTATTAAATGATAATTTGTAATTTTTGATTAACGTATTAATGATCACCGATCAAAGTGTGCCGATGAACGCGGTACCGCGAGTGTGTTTTCCATTTGGTAAGATTTTAATTACCCGGATTTCACAAAAATTTTGTACGACGCTAGAAGAATACTATTTATAATATAGAATGTAATTGGATTTGAAAAATAAATAACCGCTCTACAATTTACATGTATTTTAATTACGGGTAACACCCATATGTATATTTAAAGCAAAGCTAATTAAACCGCGAGCCGAAGGGCTAAGATGATATGGGTCTTAACCCTATGTTTGCTTTTAGTTTAGAACAAATTCTTAGATAAATAATTAATTAATTTAAAATAAATTTATTTTTAAGGCAGACCTTTTAGGAATAAGAAGTATATCTAAAGTAAGCTACAAACTTGCGCCGTTCGCTAGCACAAAGCTTCAAGTGCTGTTTCCGACATGGTTTAAATATTATATACCGACTTACATAATCAGATTTACATTTTATTCTAAACATACCGATCGGATCGTTCCTATGGGAACTACTTACATGATAAATTTATTCGTTTTATAAAAACTACAACTGAAATCCTAAAATAATAATAAATGGCCATAGACTTCAGAGTAGGGTAGTAAAGATATGTATATTAAGAAATAGCAATGTTATTATTTGTATGCTTTTGCATAATTATATATGATAAAATATATACAATAATTTTAGTCAAAAGCTTGTAACGCAGTGGAGGAGTCATTTCCGAACCTATAAATCATATATATTCTTGATCAGCATCAACAGCAGAGTCGATCTAGCTATGTCAGGCTAAAATTTAATTTTTTCAAATTTTGAAAATTTTACATCGGGTTACATCGTCATAATTGTCAAAAAAAATTTTTTTTATTTAATTATAAGTTGAGTATGTAGATTTATTAACATTTTAAAAACTAGTACAGAATAGCTTTCCGAATTAAAATGTTTGGCTGTTGTTTGTTGGCTTAGTTTTGATATTTTTAAACTTCTATTTGCCAAAAAAATTATCCTTCACTATATTCTGAGTAAAATTATAATACCCTTGGAAGGGTATATAAAATAATTTGACAAAGACAGAGCTCAGAAATTACTAAATTACAGAGGATCTAAGATATATATTAGATAAGATAACTTATGTTCACCTTTAAATAATTATGGAAAGACAAAAAATGTTGTATTTTGTTAGCAACTAAGGCCCAAAAAGATATATCCAGTATTTATAAACTTACATTTAAGTCTTTAAAAGATAAGATATGACAAATTAGGTTTATGCAGTCGATGCCTTTAACAATTTTATTATTGCCAGCAAAAATTTTACATAGAATCTTGGAAATAGTGTCTTATTTTCAGGCTTTTCAATTTTTTAGCAATTTGTGAATCCAATTCCAACTGCTGTTACATAACGAGAATACATTGGTCAACTAACAAGTGACTTAAGCGCCCAGCTGCTTGTAGAGAATGGGCACATAATCGTCGTACTCCGCCTGGTAGAGATTACCGGCAATCGGATCCCCCAGATCGTACTTCTTAGCAAAGGCGGCGATTTTGAAGCCCCCACGTCCGTCGGCACTGTTGTTGGGCAGCCTCTTCTCGTCGAAGGTCAGCTTGCAGTTTTGCTCGTAAATAAGGAACACGTAGCGATGCAGACCAGTGTCCGGCGGCGGTCCAGATCCGACGTAAGCGGAGAGCACCTCGCCCTTGGCGATGTCGCCGCCGGGAATGTTTCCCACCAGCCAGTGGTGCCATTCGCGGAACGTGGGCTCCTTGCGGCTCGGTGCATCCGGGTCGGTCATGCACAGAGTGTAAAGCTTGTCAGGGTTCGCCTCCCACTTGACAGTAGGCTGGTCTTTGACCTGGGTGGGGGTCAGAACCTGGCCGGGCTTAACCACAATATCACAGGGATATTCCACCGTTGCCGTAGCCTTCGGGGCCTTGGCAATTACATCGGGTACGACACAGTGTTCCTCCATAGCTTTTCCAACTTTCCCACAAGAATACTGACGCAGATTTTGGGTAAATGCAGAGAGCGGCTCGTTGGTTAGAATGGAATTTTCCGAAGCGCCTCTAAATGTCTTCAGCGTTCTAACCGTAATGGCGGCCGGCAAATTGACAGTCACAGCGGTTGAACGGACAAAATCTTTACGGAGATTTCGGGAAATACGGGACAGATTGCGCAGGCTTTGCATTCGCACCAAGTTCATCTTGATTGGGGAATTAAGCTCAGTGCAAATTAATTAAATAACTGTTTATTGGCGAGTATTTGTTTGCCAATTAAACGGCGGCAACTCTGTCATTCACCGGATGGAAGGCAGCTTGAGTTATCGTTATCGATTTCTTTTGTATAATTTAAATTTTAATATTTCAGTTATTTTGACATTAAATATATAGTAAATGTGATAAAAAATTTGATTGAATAGCGTTTCTATAAAAAATAGCCTAAGAACTAGAACCTCGGAACACTGAAATTTGTATACCCTTGCAGATTGCAATTTGATTATTAATAATTAATATAATATAATATATATTTAAATTATATATTGGTTATGCCTACTTTCGTTACTTTCCCTACGTTTACAGTTATAAATTCAGTTTCTAAGGGGGCTATATGATATATTAATTCGATTTTCATAAGACTAAATCCATAATTCTGTTAATTTTAAAAAGCTCAATTGTGAGTAGTTGAAAATATTTTGTAAACAATAATTTGTATCATTCCCAGTCATATTTTCATAAAATTTAAACCGAAATTGTAGAATAATACAAAATGACAATATAAACATATGTTAAAAACTGGTCATTTTTCTAAAAAAATTTTAATCCTTCCTTAAGCAGCTATATGATATAGTCGTCTCTTCCGACTTATAAACATACAAGTGAGAGTACCTAGAAGACTACCTGGAAAGTTTAATTCCGTTAGTTTAAAAACTAAGAGACTTGTGTGAGTAGAAGGGTATAACATAACATAAATATTAACATAAACTATTATTGTTCGTTAAATAAATCGTTTTAATATATTAAATTTCGTCCTAAACCCTATGTTCTTATTCTAGCGAATGTGTTTTTAACAAGATGAAAGGAACAATGGATGATAGACAGGATGTGATGTGATGGGCAAGTGATATGCTTTTTGGACCAATATTTCGTTTCGGAAGCCATCTGCATCCTTCAGGCCAAACGCTGCAGGGGTGCAACTAAACCTGGTAGCGATGCTTGTGTCAGGCCTTTCGGAACATGTCGCCGGAGCCGTACGACAACCGTCGCTCCTTAGTGTTGCTGGTGACCAGCACCTCCTCGTCGAACTGCGACACTCGCTGCATTTTCGGACGCATCAGTCCCCTCACATCGTTTAGCGTTATGTCAATGTCCCGGAAGGCGTTAAGCAGGAATACAGCTGTGATAACGACCAGGAAACCGCACACATCGCCCAGGATGTCATCAAAGCGCATGTGAGTGAACTCCTTGAACAGAATGGCTGAGGCCACGATCACCAGGGTGGTGAACATGACGTAGTACACAGGCGTCACAATGCTGGTGTTGAATATATCCAACGCCTTGTTTAGATAGTTCATCTGAATGGCGATAAAGGTGACTGTGACCAGGATCAGGAACCACGGCATCCAGGTGAGGAACACGTTTCCACCGTTATTCAACGTCTGACGAATGGCCAGACCCAGAGCCTTGCACGACATCACGGTCAGGGAGCCAATTCCCGAGCACATGAAGATATAGACAACCACATTGGTGTGTCCATGGCGCGGTGCAATAAAGCAGGCCACAAACACCGTGGAGCCAATGATGCAGATCACATACAGAATGAACACCGGATCCTGCAGCATGTCAAACAGCAGCTGCAGATCCTCAATCTCCTTCTCCTTGGGCGAATGAATCACAATGATTGTGGAGCCCAAGATGCACAAAAAGCATCCAATCTTTCCCAATAGGTTCAGCTTTTCGTTGAGAAATCTGGAGGCCATCACAGCCGAGATAATCACACTGAGGGCCCCCAAGGGGGTCACCAGGGAGGCGGGCGCAAAGGCATAAGCCGCAAAATTAGCCGCCTCGCCCAGTCCCACTGAAAGAAAAACAACAAACAGAGACAGTAAGTCAATGAGTCACAGATAAGGGGTTTGTTATGTACATATATCTGCGGGTATACCCTAATAGGCGGTATAATAATTATTGCCGGATGTTTGTAGTCTTTAAAACAATAACATATATATGTATGTTTCTTTAAAGTTTTGCATGTTTAAAGATCAGATATCGGATAGACCTTATAGGGGACTTTAAAATAACTAAATAACTGAATTTTGTAAGGGGAATATGAATTTAAATTTAACTCTAGGTCGGAATCAATTATAGTTGTAATCGAAAAAACAATGAAACAAGATAAGAGCCACCTTGCTGAATCCGAACATATGCATATTTATGTCAAACATGACGAACTTTGGCTCTTTATCTGGTTTTTGGGGGACTTTTCTTATCTTTATCAGGGCGTTAGAAACGTATTCAAATTCTGAGTTTGGAAAAACTTCAACAAAAGAACTAATAGATTTATTAAATCGTAATTTAGGGCAATCTGACTATTAGCTTTGTGTTCTTTGTTATGTTAGTTCTCTGGCGAAATTCGTGACAAAGACGTTGGAAGTAACATAGAAGAACCTATACACTTTCACAAGAAACTATCTTAAGTATTTTGGTGTTCCTTAATAGGGTTTTAGCTGCCAAAAGACAGTTTCCTACTCACTTGTTAGGAGACCCGCCCACCAGATCCACTCCCGTAGGTAGCCAAATCCTCCCGCCGAGGCTCGAACCTCGCCATATCTGCTTAGCCGGATGAGTGCCTTCTTTTTGATGATAAAGCTGGAGCCGATGAAGAAGCAGGAGGAGATTGCCAGGCCGACGCCGATGTAGAAATCCGTGTTGGAGATGGCCGCACTGAGGGATGCAGACGCTTGACTGGCTTCCTCCATCGACGCCGCCGCCGCCGCGGCTGGGAAGCTGCCGGGCACCGCCTGGGTCATTGGCATCTGCAGTGATGAGGCTTCGCTATTCATATTGCCCTCCGTGCGCTTTGTTTTCCTCTGTGCGCTCCGTTTTTCTCTGCTTTCCGTTTTACCACTTTTTGCACAAACAATTCTGCGTGAGTCACAAACAGAGTTGCAGTATTTCGATGTTACTATCGATTCTATCGATAAGCCGATAATAAAGATGTTTTTGTGCTCACAGTGAGTGTGCCATTCACAAAGAACGCGGACATGAAAACAAAACGTGCAACCGGTAGAAGAAATGCCGCCGAAATCGAGCAGCAAGAAAAACCAGGCCAGCTGGTATCACTGCGAGGCCTGTGGCGTCCACATTCCCTCCAAGGCGAGAGACAACCACGATGACCACTGCTCCACAATCAGCCAAGGCGATGCCACTCCAGATTCCGATGCGGAGTACGTGCGAAGCGGAACGATCTTCACGAGAAGTGTGCAGCAGGGTAACTTTGAGGTGGAATCGCTGAAGGATCTTTCTACCAAGTATGCCAACATGCTGTTGTTTGTCTCCGAGGGAGCAATGCAGTTAGCCCAACTGCATATTGGTCAGCATGTGGTGATAGAGGCACCGTCGGTGGAGCTACAGCCGCTGGTGAGGATTTTATGGCCCATATCAGAGCAATTCCTTACTACGGTGTTTGTGAGCGAGGGAGGTGAGATATCCCAACTGAAACTAAGAGAAATTTAATTCAAAATATACCTTAATATTACTATCTTTCTAGATTTCAAGCTCCATTGGACGCAGTTACGTGGTAAGCTCTTAAAGATCAGTTCCCTGGACACCAGTTGTCTCACAGCTGCTGCGAGCATATCCTTGAGACAAATAAACAGCAAAGAGACTCCATTGGCGCCAGGACAGATGCAGGAGGCCATTGCCCTGCTTAAAAGAGACATTGTCAATGGGATCTTTTGCAATGGTAGTGAAATCTATATGAATTTCTTCAACAAGAAGTTGCTTTTTCGCCTGGAACGATGGCAGGGTACAGTGGAAGAAGCACTAGCTAGTCTCAGTCTGGATTCCAAGCCCTTGCAGTTTGTCCAGGTGACCAACGTGACGAAACTCCAGCTAATAGCTGAGAGTGCGGAGCAACAGCAAAATGAGCAGAAGAAAAACCATCGCATTACCAAATCCCAAATAGGAGGGCTGGACAGGCAATTGCACCTGGTAGAGGAGTGCATGGAGTATGCCTTAGGCTTTAGGGCGTTACCTACAGGTAAATATAAACGTTTTAAATACGAAACCTGTTTAATTATACTGTATGGTTTCCGTCAGGCCTTAGGGTATCGCGTGGAATGCTTTTATATGGCGCCACTGGCTGTGGCAAGTCCCTAATCCTGGAGGCCATGTCTGCGGTGGCCGAGGAGCGCAGTCAAGGAAATGCCCAACTCATACGCATCAACAGTGGCGAAATCTACAGCAAGTTCTTGGGAGAAACCGAACAAAAGCTGACGGCAATCTTCGAACGTGCCTATAATCATTATCCGCACCCAACACTTCTGCTGATTGAAGACGTCCACAATCTGTGCCCCAAACAGGAAAGCAGTGATCTGATCAAGCGCGTCTCGTTGGCCTTTCTCTCTTTATTGGATCAGCTTAGCAGTCCCAGTCAGCTGAAGGGAAGCAGAACCTTCCTGCTGGCCACCAGTTCTCAGATTGAATCCCTGCATCCGAGCATAAGAAGAGCTGGTCGATTGGACAATGAGCTGGAGTTGGGTGCTCCAACTCCCCAGGCGCGAAGAGAGATTATAGAGTGTTTGACCCAGTCTTTGGATCATCAGTTAAGTGAAGAGGCGGCGGAGCATATAGCTTCCATAACCCATGGCTATGTGGGAGCAGATCTTGCGAATCTGGTGTATGCCGCCATGCTGCAGGCACAACCCCATCCGCTCCAGCTACAACATTTGCAGGCTGCCCTGACCCGCATCAAACCTTCGGCTATGCGTGAAGTTCTTATCGAGTGCCCCAACGTCCAGTGGGCGGATATTGGTGGGCAATCGGAACTCCGTTTGGCCATGCAACAAGCCATAGAATGGCCGCTGCTCCATGCTGAGAAATTCCAACGATTGGGCATCAAGCCGCCCAGGGGTATCCTCATGTTCGGACCGCCTGGCTGCTCCAAAACGATGATTGCCAAAGCTCTGGCCACCGAGAGTAAGCTTAACTTTCTTTCGATCAAGGGACCGGAGCTCTTTTCCATGTGGGTCGGCGAATCGGAGAGGGCGGTGCGTGAGGTCTTCCGAAAGGCTCGCCAAGTGGCACCCGCCATAGTTTTCTTCGACGAAATCGATGCCATTGGCGGCGAGCGGTCCGAAGGCGACGGTTCTGGCTCCGGATCGGGTTCCTCTGTAAAAGAACGCGTTCTCACCCAGCTTTTAACCGAGATGGATGGCGTGGAGGCTCTGCAAAATGTTACTATTGTTGCAGCCACAAATCGACCGGATATGATCGACAAGGCTCTACTTCGACCAGGAAGAATTGATCGTATCCTCTACGTGGGTTTACCCAAGACGGAAGCGCGTCGTGAAATTTTAAAAATTAAACTTCGGGCTATGCCGGTATCGAAGGATGTGGACATGGAGAAATTGGTGCAATTGACGGAGGGATATTCCGGTGCAGAAATCCAAGCGGTGTGTCATGAAGCTGCGTTGCGCGCTTTGGAGCAAAGCTTCGAGGCGGAGCAAGTGCAGTGGTTGGACTTTGAGCATGCCTTGAAGGCAGTGCCACCAAGAACAAGTCCGGAATTGTTGAAATTATATGAGGATTATCTCAAAAGGAAGTAGAAACCCGAAGGAGATATTAATGAGAAGTTAAGCAATTGTTCTTAAGACAAACCAAGAGGATTTGTATATAAAAACGAATGAAGAAATATGTTTTAATAGTATTTCTTAAGATTTAAGGCCTGGTAAATCTGAGATTGTAATCGAAAAATTTAGAGCTTTTAGCAGGCACAGCCTTAAACTCCAACCGACGATTGTAAACTGTAAAAGTGTGAGATATACAGTCCCCTTTTTTCTGTTAGACATTACTTTGCTTTATTTAGAGTTCTCTGATTAGGCTAAAGAGATAAGATCAAAAGCAGAATAATCAGTTAACCCCATACTGAATTTGTATAAAGGCACAAATTTCCCAAATTGTCTTTGTATCGTTTATAGACATCGCGTGAACATTGAAAGGGAATTTCCAATTAATGCGTCAATTAATTGATATTGGATTCTTTCGGAATTGCCAATAAAATCAACTTGACTCAACTTTTCAGTTAAGAAATAATTTCACTGATGGTTTTGCTTGCCTTGCAAATCACTAAATAGAGCGAAGAGAGAATTAAGGCTTATTTAAAAGCGCTTCTCATAGTTGTTTCTTACACTTAGTTATAATCAGTTTTAAGAGTAATTAATATCAAGAAATTTCTCTTATTTCAAGTTTGAGGGTCTCCTAAGGTCAAACAGTGGCTATACAAAATATGTTAACTATTTAATTGATATTTTAAAGAGCTATTTGTTTGATTTTAACCTTAACTTCCAGAGGAAGATTACTATTGAGAATTCTATAAAATGTTGGAATTTAGAAAAGGTAAACCATTGATTTTTATGTTATGTTTATGTTTTAATTAATTATTAATTGTAACCTAACCCAGATTTTCCCATTTCAGGCTGTTGTGTATGAATATCTCTGGCATCCACTGTGGGACTATTTGACGAAGAGCTTGCGAAAGCTTGGGGCTCTCTCTCCGCTCCCAGCTGACACGATCAGTTGCCGGCTGGCGTTCGTCGCGTTTGGTTACGACATTTTTTCAACTGGCGCAAACTTGTCGCCGGAGGAGAAGTATTCCAAATCCGATCCGTTCCGATCCGTCGTCTGGAAAAATGAAGAATTGGTTAAAGCTTTCGTTACTGCTATGCACCTTTGGATTCTTCCGGGAGCTGCGGCCCTCTGAGCCATATGTCACGGAATATTTGGCCGGGGACTATGGTAACCTGACCTCTACGCAAATCTACCAGAATGTCTTTCCTTTTGGCACCTACTCTGTGCTGGCCGAGCTGGTGATTGTGTTCCTTATCACCGATCTTGTGAGGTATAAGCCGGTGATAGTGCTCTCGGCGGTGGCCGGTATCGTTCTCTTCTCCATGCTGGTGTGGACCGGGTCTGTGCTCATGTTGCAGGTGGCCCAGATCTTCTTTGGATTCTACATGGCCGCCGAGGTGGCATACTATACGTACATGTACGCCAAGGTGGACAAGGAGCGGTATCAGATTGTGACAGGTCACACGCGGGCTGCAATTTTGAGTGGAAAATTTCTGGGTGGCTGTTTAGCCCAGATCATGGTGTCTACTAAGAGCATGAACTTTCGGGAATTGCATTATATCTCGATAGCCTCACAATTGGTCTCTTTAGTTGTGTCTCTATTACTGCCCGGAGTTCCACGGAGTCTCTACTTTTATGCGGTCAACGAAAAGGGTCCAGTCCATCAACCAGTAGGCGATGTACAGACACCGAAATTCTCGTTTAAAAACGCATTCCGCTTGCTGTGGTTTCACCTTGTCACTTCCTACTCGAATCCCGTGGTGCTGCAGTGGAGCATCTGGTGGGCTCTGGCCACATGCGGCCAAATACAGGTGAGTTTTGGATGTTAATTTTAATATTAATAAATGAAATGCTTCAAGTTAAATTACTTTTAAGTGGAAAAGCGGGATATCTGGTTCTTAAAGATGTTTTTAAAATGTATTTATGTTTGATTTGTTTGTAAATAATTGCCAGAAAAACTGGTATTTCCGGTCAGAACAAGTGAAATAACCTTGACCCAGTATACGTTTTATCAATGCTATTTATAATTAAATTTCTATACATTTACATGAATTAATCAGAACACTAAAATAAAATTTTTCTCCTCTTATTCCCCAGGTTATATCCTACATACAGTTTCTATGGAAAGAGGTAGCTCCGGGTAACCGGAGCCTTTACAATGGCGGCGTTGAGGCCTTGGCCACTCTACTGGGAGCCGTTGGAGCTATCCTGGCAGGACTTTTAAACTCGAATAAGCGTAGAAGTGCCTATATGCTAGGCATATCCATCTGTGCCACTGTCCTTGGAGCATTGCTTATCTGGGCAGCACGTACCCAATATATCTGGGTGGTCTATGCCAACTATGTGCTCTTCTGTGCTGTGCACTTCTTCATTATCACCATAGCCGGAGCAGTGGTGGCCGAAAACGTCGTCGAGGACAGTTTTGGCTTGATCTTTGGCATTAATACTTTAGTGGGTCTACTTCTCCAAGCTATCTTGATCATTGTGGTGGTGGAACCAAAGGGATTTGGTCTTGCGCCTAGAGATCAATATGTGGTTTACGGCAGTTATTTCCTAATTCTGGGTTCTATCTATATAATAGGTATTGTTTTTGTTAAACTATGGCGCAGAAGAAAGCTTTCCCGTGAGGGTAATGTGGCAAACTTGACGTAACGACTGGTTGAATTTATTAAATTATAATAATATTACTATATTGTAAATAGAAACCTTGAAAAGCACTAGTTAAAGCTTCCACAAAAATAAACACTAGGAGAATTAATTCACGTATAATGAAAATTCCTTTTTTTAAATAACTTTTTGTTGTATATAGACATTAATTGACTCAGGGATTTCATTATTATATAGAAATCCTGTCTTCCCGTATTCTCAACATAAAAGTTCAAAGGGAGCTAAAGTATAAGGAATTATATCATGAAATTACATAAATCAAAATAACCGGCATATTAATTACATTAAAACATTTAAATAAATTTTATTTATAATTATAATTGTACTACATAATACTATTGCAAGAGCAGATCCATTTCCTCCGCATTCGAGGACATCAGATCCCGCTCTAAACTAGTGGAGGCTGTCGTTGCTTGATTCAGAAAGAGATCAAAGTCGTAGCCTTCCTTTTGGGCCGCAATGGAATCCTTTTGGTTGCTAATGGTCTGCGGATTGGAGAGCAGGTCTACATCATACAGACCCAGTTCCTTGAGGAGCGTATCATTCTCGCTGTTGGGTTGGGACGCTGAGACGGAGGAGATGTCTACAGATTCCTTGGTCTCCACATTAATGATGGCCGCAGGTTGTTCCACCGCCTCAAATCCACAGTCAACCTGGGAGGGTGTCGTATTGGAATGATTATTGGCTTCGATTTCATCATCGTCCAGCTCCTGGGGCTTCAGGGTGCTCGACTTATACTGAAAGTCCGTCTCCTTGAAGTCCACTTCGATGGGAAAGAGAGGTGGTAGCGAGTCCAGCCGCTCCACGAGACTCCTGTGCAGTTCTGCTAGACTCTCCAGTAGGCTTCTCAGCTGCTTGTTGAGATCCATGGCATGTTTGCACTCCAGGAGTTCCATTTTCTCGAGGACGTCGGTCCGGAGCTTGGCGAACTTACTGCGGGCATCCTGGCGACATCGCAGGATTAATCTGTACTCATAGTTGCCCGTCTCCACGCGGTACAGTGGCTCCTGGAGGGCCGCAAAACCATGCTCCTCGTCGTCCATTTCCTTGACCTTCAGGCAATACGAGAGATATGTGAACTTGGCATCGGCATAGCGACGCACAGTGAGCTTTGTGTCCGGTATGGCTTTGTTCAGGTACGTTCCCAAATCAGCAAGCACTGGCTTAATCTGCTTAATGATACCCAGGCCATCCTTCTCCAGGGTGCGATGGAACTCGCCAAATGTTCGAAACGCCTCAGAGGCTCGCTGTTGCGGCTCATGGACAGAGATTTGGGTGAAGCAATCGCCAAAAGACTTGTAAGTCTGCAGGAGATCATAGTAGGCCTTGAGCATTCGACGGGCATGCTCCACCAGGCCCTTGTACATCAGTTCAGTGCCCTCCAGTTCCTCCAGTCGCTTCACCAGGGAATCATTGCATAAAATCGCCCGGGAGAGACCCAAAGTGTCGGCGGTATTGCTCGATAGGTTGTCCACGATCCTGTGCTTTAGCTTCTTTAGTATAATGTCCAGGGTCTTGCCCTGTTCGGGATCTGCATGCAGCTTGTTGTAGTGGATGACGACCTCGTCGGTGGCTGTTTGAATCATCTTGGCCACCTCCACCTTTGTCTTGCCCTTCACGCTCACTGAATTCACAGCCAGTAGTTCGTCTCCGGATTGCAGGGAACCCTCCCGAGCAGCGGGAGTGCCATCGAAGATCTAAAATTGTAAATATTTTAAAATCTTAATACAAAGAATAATACACAAAATAGTAAAAGGGACAATTCATCAGTATAGTACCGACTTTAGATATTTGTTAAAAACCAAGCCTATGAGTTGTGGCATTTTAAACAATTTTTGAAAATATTCCGAATTGAAACACCTGGAAACTTTTAGGCTAGCCAAATTATGACCATCACCAACTGGTATAAATGGGCAAATGATGCCATCAAGGCCGCTCCCCAGATTAAGCCTAAGGTGATACCCGGCTTCGATTGTTTGGATGACCGGCTGCAGGCTGTGTTGCGGGAACAGGGACCTCACAAAAATTCCCTTAAACGGAAGCCGGCTGGTGGCGGTCAGAAGCAGGGGAAAGCGAAAAAAACCAAGGCAAGGATTTCGTCACCGCGGTTTCATAAGTACCAGAAACTATACTCTGACAACCTCCAGGACCTCAAGCGTTGCGCTGCCGGCAAATGCAACGAGTACAAGTTCCGGAGCAAGCCAGTGCCAAATTTCGCGAGGTCCCACCAGCTTCTGCAGAAGCGCAAGCAGTACTTCACCTCCATCAAGAAGCTAACTAAGCCAAAATCTCCCCGAACTCTCGTCACGTCTATGAAGGCCCTGATCAAGCGCAACAACGAGGAGAGTAAAGAGCTCAGTCGGTTGGCGTCCAGATCAGTACCGAAAATCAATTCGTCCAAATCCATGGACTATATGATCCGCAAACCGTTTAAGCCTCATACGGAAATCTCCTTTACACGGCCGAAGCCTTTCCGTCTTCACACCTCGAAGCGGGCGTTAATACGTTTTCTATACGATAAAGAGAAGCGAGTGCGGATGGAGGAGCGCTTCTTGCAGCTGGCTAACGAATGGTTAGAGTCGGAGAGAAGGGAGTATTTTAGGCTACGTAAACTGACCAACTTTAAGGCCAATCCAAATCCCTGGAGAGAGAAACTAACCAACTTTAGACCCACTCCGAGTTCCTGGAAACCAGATCGTGGATATTATAATATTTGGCAAGGAAGCAAAAATTAATGAGTAATTAAAATAAAAGGTTTTTCTTTTGATTCTTCGGAGGATAAAGCAGTATAAAGCCTTCCTCCACTCACCTGTACTATATATAGACATGGACACATGGGGGCTCCTCCGCCAATGCTAATTCCAATCAGGTTGCTCTGATCCTTGGTGATGACGACGGCATTGGTGGTGACAGTCATTCCCCTATTAAATTTAAAATTTAATATATACGCCAATTAGTTTAAATTAAAATATACGAAAGAATGAGGCGTGAACTACCCGTGCTATTTTGTTAATTGTAGGTAATGGCTATGAGTGTGAGATATTGTGGCAATTTTCCATACGTACTCACATCGATCGGTGCAATTTTCTAAATTAGCCATATGTTACCAGTTCTAGCAAGGCCATTGGACTATATCGTAAATAATATAAATCTGTTGATCGGGGCAGTTTAGTTTCGTAGAGCTATAGTTTCTGACTGAATTTGGGATTCGGTATACTGGAGGAAACCTCGTAAACAATACGCTCTATATGGTATTCACTAGCTAGCCTAGCATTATAATTGTATATAGTATATTTTATATAAGCATCTAATTACTACTACACACAAAATAAAATCATAATTGTTCTTAATTGGGTGAAAAAGAAAAACAAAAATAAAGAAATACCTCTAGTTCTAGTTTTGGGTTGATTATTATCACAAATTACTTTACAAATATATATAGTGGTCGCTCGGTGATAACGGTATATTAATTTGTAGAATAAATTGATAAAGTCTAAAAACAATTTATAACTAAAGGGAGAAAATAAGAACTTCTATTTTTATATTTCAAATAAATATAAAAGAAACGGTTTTATACCTAAAATAGGAAACTGCCAATTAAAGAATTTTTCTTTAACGTGATCTAAAAAAATATAGTGATAAAAAATTATGTTCTCAATAATAACGTATTTTTTTCTAGCTTTCGAGCGACCACCAAGTGGAATATTGTATTATCAAGACGAATCTGAGTCAATCGGCGGACTTGACTTACAAACGGTCTAACTCATACTTCTGCCTATTGGCGGATTCGCTGCCAAACCTGTCCGAACCAAAGCCCGCCGGAGAGCAGAGCATAACGGTGGCCTCGCTGATGGCGGAGGACACCTCCGGCTTCTCCGGCTCCGCGGGGAGTTCCTTGTGCCGCCGTACATCCTCGGCATTAGCGCTATCCAACTGGATGAGCAGCGGCACTGGCCTGAGTCCAACAATATGTTTGAGTTTGTGTTGCGATTATTGATTTTTAACAGATACTTTCGCAACAGATTGTTTCGTGCCCATGAAAACAAAGCTATGCAGAGAGTTTTCCTTATTTGGCAGGATTTCAAAGGATACTCACATCTTGTCCTCCTCAAAAAAGAAGTCATCCTCCGTGTCTGTCAGCATTTTTGGGTCTTAAAAAACTAAATATTTATTTAAATTTGTTTATTTTGGCCACTTGAAGTTCCTTCTGGAGCTGTAGAAACATATCGATGCTATCGATGCTGCGCCTATCGAGAGACCTATCGATTTTTCCGGCTATCAAGAAAAAAAGAATTGTTTTGTTATTTTGTAAAAATATTTAAAAGGTATTGTGTTAATAATTAATTATATATATAAAATATAATATAAATATATATGTTTATAAAAAAATATCGATATGTTGATATTAAGATACATTTTTCACATCCCTAGTTTTGGCCATTCCCACGGCGTAACCATGACCACTTGTTGCCTAGGAAACGCTGAGCAAAAACATAAACAAAAGATGATGGACTGGGCCGAAGAACTTAAGATGACAATAAGGAAGGTAAAAAACTACTAATAATTAAGTGTAAATAGTATTTTGGCTTAACTGCACTCCACAGACGACGGCCAGGAAGGGGCGTCGCTCCAAGAGTCGCGATGTCTTGAAGGAGGAGTCCTTGCAGACAGCAGCTGCAGGCTCCAAGGACATTTCCATTGATATTACATTGAATGTACAGGCCCAGGGCGGAACGCCGCCCTCTACATCGGATGCAGGGACTTCGTCATCTTACAACAATGAGTTCGAGTCGCATCGTCCACCCATCCGACGCATTTCGGGTGGATGGGCGGACTCTGGCCTGAAAGGATTGAAGTAAGTATGGTTGTCGCCTCTGTGAGTCCTTTACTGAGCCTACTACTTTTTCTTTTTAGGTCCAAGAAGAACTCGTTTGATGAGTAAGTTCCCGAAATGAAGTTACTTAACGCAGAAAGTTTTATGTGAAACAGATTGCAACGTATTCTTGCTTTAATTTCCCTTAATATTCTTTGTTATATACATATTTAGTACTAATATAATTTGTTTCCCACTTCCAGTGAGCGTTTTAAGCAAACAAAATCGGCCACAAATTCAATACCAACAGATGACATACCCGTTATACCTGATATGGATGATATCAAAGATGAAATAATGCTCAATGAGATAGTGGAACCGGCCAAGTAAAAGGAATATTTAAAATCCCTTAGCTCAGCAATTAAAAATATTCTATTCCCAGTGTCGGTTCAACACGTTCTGCTGTTTTAAAGGAGGCCAACTCCGATTTGCTGTCTCAATACGCCTTCTCTGCCGTGGATGGCTTTGATCTCTCTATATTAACCGACTGCCTGGTTCCCCAGGAGAGCCTTAATGAGAAGGACGATCTCTGGCAGTGGGACAAGCTCTTCACCGAGGTAACAGCCGAAATCCATTCGGATAAAGTGCCTAATATAGGCATGAAGATCGGACCCGATGTGGTGCCGCCAACTCAACATTCTTAAATGACTTCTTACTCAAAGCAATTAGTGCAATATAAAATACTCAATTAGATGTAATGTAATTTAAAAATCCATTCATTAGATGCCTTAAATGATCACAAATACTCAATTAAATTGCGATTTTAAACTAGCTTTACAAGCGACTTTTGGTTGCGAGTTATTGGATGGCTCTGCCAACACCATCCAAAGCCTTTTCCTTGTGATCGGCAGCATTGGCACGAGACTCGTAGTTGCAGATGGTGACGCCATGGTAATGCGCTTCAGTAAATTCGCCTCGAAGACCTGGCATAGGGATAAGGTATGGTCATATATAGGCTAGAATGGCATTTAACTCACCAATGTAGTAAATGAGTGTGTTGTCATCGCCAAAATTGCTGGGAAAGTACAATGATAGATGGTGAACGGAGGAGAAGGTGACCACTTTCGGTGAGTACTCGATCTCTCCACGAGCATCGCGCGTTAGCTCGAATTCCTGATCCGGCTTAGCTTTGGCATCGTCGAAGGTCATCTTGGGACGGTTTTTGAAGCTGCAATGAACATCATTATTAAGGTTTTGAACATTGAACATGATAAATAAAACCTGTGGAACGATTGATTACATTTTAACCCTATTTGGATGCGAATCATCGTTGGGGCCGCTTATGATGATTCCCTTGAGCTTGACGTTGCCGGTGAAGGGTATATTAAAGAGCAGTTCCTCGTCCGCGTCGCTCTGCACATATTTTGTGAGATCTAGGCGCCTTTCGTACGGCTTGAAGACGCCTTTGCCCTGGCCATCCGTCTCCTCGTTCAGGCACTCTGTGTTCTCGATGTCGATTTTTGTATATAGACTGTATTCGATGCCCATTTCCAGGGCATGATCAATATCTGTGGCTTCGTGGCCGCAGCCGCCATGGTCGTGTGAGTGTCCGTGCGGCATGTTTTCGGGCTTAAAGTTAATATACAAATATAAATAAAGGAGTCGAGTCACTTATGCACGAATGCAGTCACATTAGAAAACCATTCACACAGAACTACTACACTTTTGGTATATTTAACCATTAAATAGTATTTTTTGTTTAAAGAGCGTCGGTATGTCTATGCTACATTACTACGGTCACACTGACAGCCAGCCGAAAATCGTCAATTGTAGTAATTTTTAATCTGTGTTAATCGGCTTTAAATTGATTCGGAATAATTGTTCTTTGCCGCAAATCGTGTAACTAACGTTCCAATGGCGCCCAAGGCTAAATCGGTTGGCATCAAGCCCCAGGCCAAGGCCTTCAAAGACAAGTCCAAACCCACCGATGTGCGTATGTCCAACATCCAGGCGGCAAAGGGTAAGAAATGTGTTAAAATAACGTAAATTAAGTGCGAAAATAATTAGAAATGTATGCCCAATGGCTATTTGTGATTATGTGAAGACGTTGAAAGGATTTTGGGGCAATGTTATGTTAAAATTGCTGCCCAAATGGCAAAGTAAAATAGCAGTTGGATGCCGGCTGTGTCTGGAACCTTCTGAAGAGGAAGAAGAAGAACGCGTGTGGATTACTCATGTGATGGCTGCGAGTGGAAAATGTTTCGGCTTTGGAATACCCTTTTAGGGCTTCAAGAATAATGATAGAAACCAATACAGCTATTAAGTTTTCTGTAATGTATAGATAATCCTACCTAAACAGCTGGGCCTATATATACAAGTCCATCTGTTTGGTTATGGGTTAATTAGTCATATGTTTTTTAATATATTAAGCGTATAACAAGCTTTTTTGGAAAGGCAGCGATGTACTACACTCTTCATACAATTAAACAAATATTTATTACAAATTCTCTTCCTTCACAGCTGTTTCCGATGCCATCCGCACCAGCTTGGGACCCCGCGGCATGGACAAGATGATCCAGGCGGGCAACGGCGAGGTGTCAATCACCAACGATGGTGCCACCATTCTGAAGCAGATGAACGTTTTGCATCCGGCCGCCAAGATGCTGGTTGAGCTGTCCCGCGCTCAGGATGTGGCAGCTGGCGATGGCACCACCTCCGTTGTGGTCATTGCCGGCGCTCTGCTTGAGGCTTGCGAGAAGCTGTTGCAGAAGGGCCTGCATCCCACTGCTATCTCGGACTCGTTCCAGCGGTGCTCCGACAAGGCTGTGCAGATCCTCACACAGATGTCCACGCCCATTGAGTTGACAGATCGCGAGACGCTCATTAAGAGCGCCTCCACATCTCTGAACTCCAAGGTGGTGTCGCAGCAGAGCAGCCTGCTGGCTCCCATCGCTGTGGATGCCGTGCTGAAGGTCACCGAGCCCGGCAAAGAGGTCTCTGTGGATCTTAAGAACATCAAGGTCATCTCCAGCCTGGGCGGCACCGTCGAGGATACCGAGCTGATCGATGGTCTGGTCTTCACCAGCCGCTCGGCAGGCACTAATGCTCCCAAGCGCATCGAGAAGGCCAAGATCGGTCTTATCCAGTTCTGCATCTCGGCGCCCAAGACCGATGTGAGTATTTTGCGGACATAAAAGTTCTGACTGGGAAACTTAATTCAAAAACTAAATCTTGCAGATGGACCACAGTGTGATTGTGTCGGACTACGCTGCCATGGATCGTGTGCTGAAGGAGGAGCGTTCCTATATCCTCAATATTGTCAAGCAGATCAAGAAGGCTGGCTGCAATGTCCTGCTGGTTCAGAAGTCCATCCTGCGGTAGGTTAAACAGCTCTGCTCTCGCCGTCCATATACTCATAATTCCTGTTATCACAATTTCCTTAGTGATGCTGTTTCGGATCTGGCTCAGCACTTCCTGGACAAGATCAAGTGTCTGGTGGTCAAGGATGTGGAGCGCGAGGATATTGAGTTTGTGTGCAAGACCCTGCATTGCCGCCCGATTGCCTCGCTGGATCACTTCACAGCTGAGAACCTGTCCAGCGCCGAACTGGTCGAGGAGGTGGCCAGTGGCACAAACAAGTTTGTTAAGATTACCGGCATCCAGAATCCGGGACGCACCGTCTCGATCATCTGCCGTGGATCCAACAAGCTGGTTTTGGAGGAAGCTGCCCGCTCGCTGCATGACGCCCTCTGTGTGGTGCGTTGTTTGGTGAAGAATCGTGCCCAGATTGTGGGTGGTGGCGCTCCAGAGATTGAGATGTCTCTGCAACTGGCCGCTGCAGCTCAAACCGTTGAGGGTGTGGATGCCTACTGCTTCCGTGCATTTGCCGATGCTCTGGAGGTCATTCCTTCGACTCTGGCTGAGAATGCCGGTTTGAATCCAATTGCCACGGTCACAGAGCTGCGCAACCGTCACGCCCAGGGCGAGAAGACGGCCGGCATTAATGTGCGCAAGGGCGCCATCACAGACATCATGGCGGAGAATGTGGTGCAGCCGCTGCTGGTCAGTATTTCGGCCATCACCTTGGCCACGGAAACGATTCGCTCGATCCTGAAGATTGATGATATTGTAAGTAGAAAAGTCTTTTATTTATTGTGAGTATTTCGAAAATTCATTTCTTATTGCAGATCAACACCTTCTGTTAGGAATTGAGCGCAGTCTCCTTCAGTTGTCTATGTCTCTGTTCAAGATCAATCTTCAAGCATTTTCATCTAATCCCTCACATCTTATATCCATTATGCGGTTGCGCATGAAATTTTGAATAAAATTCACATTATATACACTACGCCTTACCAGCTTAAAACCTATGTATTTAAAAAAAGAAAAACAAAAACTAAAAGATTAAATACTTCGCTAACACGGAAAGGAATTGTTTTGTTAATTGAGAAGGAAATGTAATAGAGCTGTGAGTGATTTTATAAAAAATATTTAAAGATTTTTATGATATGCTAGCGAGAATTAATTAAATTTTGAAATTTAAATGTATTTGCCTTAAGCTATTCTTATTAAAGGTTCTCTAGGCCTTCTATCAACTAGCTAACTAATATTAAACACACAATGAAAGACTTTTAACCCACTTCTCCGCCCCAAGTGATTATCAGCTAACCTTATCTAATGTGCGAACTCATTTTCCCTTAGTTTCTGTCTTCGAAACCTAGGGTTTCAAAGGGTTCACACCAACGCCCCAAAAATAATCCACCCCGCCGTTCGTTCCTGTTTTTTTGGGGATTCCTTTTGGTCCTGGGCGTGTAAATAAAAATCACTTGATGCGATTTTTATGATGTGCGTTAAATGATTAAACCACTTGAACTGGTTTCAAATTGTCAAAAAAAAGGAGAGTAGAAGCAAAGGGAGGCGGCAAAGGGTCTTTATCCTTTTGTTTTCTTAGCCCCATTTTCGGGTTTCGTTTACACTTGGGTGTGATTAGATTGGGGAATGGGTCCGAGATTCAAGACTATCTCTCGTGTCCGGAAACTTTCGGCGCGTGTAAGTTAATTAAATGTGTAAACATGTCAAAGGGATCAAGTTTTTCAGAACCACTATCATGTGCCATCGCCACCCCCATATTCACCCATCCTCCCAAGATGGTGTTGATTTCGAATAAGGCCCTTGATTGGCTTTGATTTTTGAGCCTCGGATATAAAAAAAGCTATTCCGCTAATTGGCTGACTAACTTAAGGGGAGGTTTTTCATTGGGGTTCACATGCAAATTTTCATTTTTAAGTCTGGTTTTTTCTGAGGCGGCCATTGAACAATGAACTTGGTGGGTTTTCCATTTTGATTTTCTGAGGGTGGAAAATTTAAACTCTCAAAGGTTTTCCTTTTTATTTGCACCCGTTTTTCGTGTTTGCTACAATTTTATGCTCTTGTAAAAGGATATTTATAAACTTACCCAGGAATTTGGTGAGTAGGTGGGATATTGAAATGTTTTAAAAATGTAAAAATAAACTAAAATATTTAAAAAGTAGGTATTCTACAATATAAATTATCTTATAACAAATTTATTTGACCACAATTTGTGGTGTAAACTATTTTATTGCATACCCTTAGGAGCATTTTAAAAGGATGTGAAGTCCATAACGAGATCTGCTTAAATTAAAAATGTATTATTACTGAATTATTATTCATTAAAAAAGTGCTCAGAATCTTTTTTATTTCACCATTATTGGTAACACTCATGGGTATTGGTAGCTTCGATTTATCCAGCTTCATTTTCCTTGTTATTTATTCTATTTTCTTGCTACTTTTTAGCTGTTGTTTACTCGCCTGTCTTGGGGCATTTGTCGTTTTCTCTGTGTTCTGGACTTCGTCCTCGTTCCCATTTGTTTCTTGTGCAAATATTGAATTTGCGCTTTTTTTCCCCAGCTATTTGCCGGAGCCGGGAGTGGCCCACACTTTTGAAACTTTTCATTTCGGGGGGGTTTATTCCTTTGTTTCGCCTGTTTGCTTAATTTTTGTATGCGATTTTCTTCATCTACTTTTTTGATCATTTCATATTTTCATTGTAATTCAATTGTGTTTTCCCATGCCGCGACGCCAAAATGTTTGCACAAGTCTTATGTTCTCTCCAGTCGGGTGAATAAAAAGGGGTGTATTCCCGCCCCTCATCGGCGGTGCGGTGTCCTTTTTCCTTTTACTCGCTAAACGAATTGAAATTCAAAGCATCAAATTGTCAGCCAGTCACGCAGAAATTTAACATATGTTGGCCGTATAATTTGCGAGCACTTTTTATTGAGCCACGAAATTACCACAGTCTGTTATCCTGCATCCTTGAGAAACAAAGGAGAATAGATAAATTATAGTAAAATTTAAGATAAACAAGAAAGGTAGCTGTCTTTGGGAGACCGACATTTCTATATCATTGCATAGAAAATTAATTATCTCAGTCAAAAATGCATTAATTTGCAATCCGAAAACTTTTCTGTGCTAGTTTTTATTAGGCGAATAAATCTGCATGTTAAATTTTAAATGTAAAATTTAATTATTATTTTTTTTTTTAATTTTAACCCCTTATAAAATTTGGAACAAATTGATACATTTTGTTTTCTCCCAAAGATGGCTAGATCGATTCGGTTCTTTATGCTGATTAAGAATAAAGAATATAAAATTATAGGGTCGGAAATGACTCCTTCACTGCGTTACAAGCTTCTGACTGAAATCATAATTCCCTTTACGGGTATAAGAATTAAACTTCGTAATTATTTGTTTCAGGGAAGTAAATAATTCAGGAATAATTAACTTTATTAAAATAAAATCACTTAAATGTGTTTAAAGGTTTTATATTTACACCTTTAAACACAATTCAATCTTATGTTGCAATTATAACCACGGTTCGAGTCTAAGCTGATCCAGGAAGTGTTTTGGAAATGGGCAGCAGATCTCTCTCACTCTCTGGCGCCTCTTTCCGTTAAGCCGAAGCAATGCCTCCTTCCAATATGACTTGGAGAGCTCTCCCGATGGCCATGCAAATTCAGTTTATCCAACGACGCCGGTCGGAGCGGGAGTAAAAAACGAAAAAATCTCCGTGCAGGTGGTCGCCGCGTCGGTTAACGGTGAAAACAAACGGAAAATTACCACAGAAAACTCGGTTTTAAGTTCGAAAAGTGCGAAAAGTCAGTAAGCCCCCGCAGTGAAAAGTGTTTGTAAAGCGGGGGCAGCCCGGACCGCGGTCGTGTGCTTATTTTTCAGTTACTAAACGCCTGTGTGTATACATGTAAGTACATATATATGCAAATATATATGTAAATACATATATACTTAGTCAAGATCAGTGCGCTTTTCTTGGCTAGTTAAGTTTTTTGGTTTTTGTTATGTGCAAGTGAAAATCCAAGCAGGCAAAGTAAATGTATTCGCGTTTTCAAAACCTTCAATAAGACAGCTTAAATTCATCTTTCTCGTCCGTTTTCGTATACCAATTCGCCGTTGGGAGCTGCAGCTGCTACATGCAGCGTAATGCGAGTGAGTGAAACAAACTGATTTTCATAATCCTTTTTCGCCCGCCTTTTTGTGCATTTGCGCGCGGAATTTTTGGTCATCTCCTATCCTTCAATCAGTGCTGCCAGGTTATGGGCAGACGTAGTAGCTAAATACTGAGCACGAAAAAGCTAAAAAAGCTATATTATACAAAGAAGATAAATAAAACCTGCCAGATAGTTTTCTGTTAAAGTTAACAGCACTAAATTTATTATTAAACATAGTGTTTAGAGAGGTAAAAGTACGCCAGACTCCATTTGAACCCCCATAATTTGGCAATTATAAGGCGCAAGATCTAGCGGGAAAATAGTTATATCATTGTGGTCAGTTTAAATATGATAGATGTAGTCAGAAAAAAGCTAAGCTGGCTACAGTGCCTTGAATACTCCTTTGAAATTCCCGTAGGAAGTACCGTAACGGTCCGCTCTCTCGCTCTGGAAGGTGGAACCTGTAAGTGAGAGTGGCTCTTAAAGAGAACACGATGCACTCTTCTGGTTTTTAATTTTGGCATTTAAAGATCTGCTCTCTTTGTTTATCATTTTTTTCTTGGCAAAAAGACAAAATTCGCCGTTGGGAGCTGCAGCTGCATCATCTAATGTAATGTGACTGAGTGAAACAAACTTATTTTCATAATTTTTTTACGCCCACCTTTTTTGTGCATTTGCGGGCGGAATTTTTGCGCTAATCTGGTGGCGGGCAGTGTATATGATTTATAGGGTTGGAAATGATTCCGTCACAGTGTTTCAAGCTTCTGACTAAAGTTATAATCCCTTGCAAGGGTTTTAATAAAAGTATCCTAAATTATATATGTATATCAAACTTTTATATTACTTAATCTATTAGCTTAATAGCATAATATATTGTATTATATTAAAGTCTTCTGAAGAACTCTCAGTACTTCCTATATAATGACTTCTTCACTGCGTTGCAAACTGACTGAAACTATAATACCCCGTATTTACCCATTTTTTTTTCAATATTTATCTATATTTTTTAAGAAACTTTTTTGTACAAACTAAAGCTTTAAAGACGCATAACTAGACCAAAAATTCATTAATTTCGATACGGTATCCTGTTATGTGCTAGTTTTTATAGGCTAATAAATCTGCATACTCATTTAAAATTTAAAAATATTTAAATTTTTTGACAATTTTAACGATGATTAAAATGTTGAAATAATTTACAACAATTAATTTTCTTTCCTACATACCTAAAAGATTCGCCTTTTGATGCTGATCAAGAATATATATGATATATAGGGTCGGAAATGACTCTTTCACAGCGATACAAGCTTTTGACTAAAAGTATAATACCCTAAAGGGTTTAAAAGTAATATAAAATAATCTTGTAACTGAATATTGAATTTATTTTGAAAATAAGTAATCAAAAAGAAAGCAGTTGATGTATTTGTTCATATATTTCCCTTCTAATATGCAATAACTTTAATAAAATAGTTTATTTAACCAAGAAAAGATCCTACTCCATACCCCTAAAAGAAAAAATAACTACAAAAAGCATTATTCGAAGGAAAAGCATGGAAGGAAAAGCATAAAGAAAACTTAATTTTCGTTAGTCCTGCCAAGTGGCGGGTGATTAATGATGTCGAGGGCCACGACAATATTATGAAAACGCATTCGAAAATTTCATTAAATTGTTATAAATGAAGCGGACTGGCGTAAGGAAAAATGAAACGTTTTCTCTCGCACAGAAAATTCAATTTGCAAATGCAGCAAATGTTTGCTAGCCCCGTCCCAGGGAAATCTATCAAATGGAAACCTGCCGAATGAATGAAATCTCGGCCGGGCAATCTCCCCCAGAATTTCATATGAATGGCCTACGGGGCTTATCACAGCCCATTTTGGACCAGCACTTTGAATATGACCAATGCCATCGATATATTCCCCCATCGGTTTCCTCCATTGAAAACCAAAAATTGCTCAAAGCCATTTTGTGTTCGTTTTCATTCAGGACTCTTGAGGTTTTTTCTTCTCTTCTTGGTTATTTGAACTGGACAGACGTCGTCGTCTGCTCGGGACTGATAACATTCAAAGGAGTCCTGAGTCAGGATTCGAGTGCTCGCCAATTATGTGTGAGTGCTGGCCGAGATTGGGCCGTACTCTGGCCACCGTTTGATGTGTACTGGGGTGTGTGTGTGTGGATCTGCAAATTAAATAGGGTAAGTAATCTGGTCCAGATTTCACTTTTGGTCAGATTAAAAATTTATTTGCTGCTTTGGACAGCTGCCTGGAAGGCAAATTCTCAAAAATTAATAAATTAAGTAATTCATGAACTCCTCTTTAAATGTAATATGTTTGTAAAGAATGAATACCATCACTATTACGTTTTTATACAAATAAATCCACACCATATGTACTATTCCCTTGGACCATCATTTACCTAATTTATTGGCACACTTCCATTAAGATATCTCCATCAAGGACTTGACTCGCTTAAGCGATTTCAAAAGGATACGTACTCCTTCTTCTGCCAAGGATACGGGAGAACGGAAAACAGCAAACAACAGGAACTAGGACACGAGAACAAGACCGAAATCAACCACCGAAGCGGGCACCATATGACATAACTATGTGTGAATTGATGGCATAAACCCTTTTCCCCAGCTCCTTTCTATTTTTTTTACAGAGAGCGAATCAGAGCTCGGCAAACCTTAGGGGTTGGGGTTGGGATGGCTAAAAAAGGATTTACACGCTTGCCTCGATATACAAATAAGGGTTTCTGCCATATTGACTGTCGCCGGGGCCTAAAAGATGAAGTGATTTCTTATCCAACAAATCCACACTCGACATCGGGGAAAAAAATAGAAATAAAATAAAATAAAAAGGGTTGTGCTGGTGTGGGTCCCCTCTTCGTCCTTCGAATCCTGGCTGGCGCTTGGCCCGCGTTTGCCAGGAAGTTTATTAAAAAATGGTCGTGTTTGCCTTTGTCGCGTGGCTGGCGAACGCTTTTGGAACGGACCAAGGAAATCAGTTAAATAAATATCTCGTTCAATATTTATTTAGGCTTCGCCTAATGAGATTCGAGTGGCACACGTCGGCAGGCAATGAACCTAAAACGGTGGCTAATTGAATAATAAACTTAATCCTTTTGGAAATTATGGAATTATGGATAGGATAATTAAATATACAAACAATTACATATAAACTTATCTATAAACTTATGTAGAATTAAAATTAATGCTTTTTTGGCTTAGCTATGATCAAATACTATTGACACCAGTGCGTATGCGTAATTTTTATTTGGGACTGTTTTATACCCTTGCAGGGTATTATAATTTTAGTCAGAAGCTCGTAATGATGTGAAGGAATCATTTCTGACCTTATAAATCATTTATATTCTTGATCAGGATCAACAGGCGAATCTTTTTAGGCATGTAGGAAAGAAAATTAATTTTTGACAATTTTTTCAATATTTTATAAGGGTTACATCGGTAAAATTGTCAAAAATTTGCATTTTTTTAATTTTTAATGAAGAGATTTAATAACCTAATAAAAACTAACATTGGGCTTTGGGTTTTTTAAACTTTGATTTTTTGAACAAATTGTCATTAAAATATAAATAATATCGACCAAAAAATGGTATTATTGTTTTAGTCAGAAGCTTGGAAAACTGTGAAGGAGTCATTTCCGACCCTATAAATCATATATACTTGATCTTGATCAGCATCAACAGGCAAATCTTTCTAGGCATGTTGGAATAATATAAATTTTTGCCAATTTTTTCAATATTTTATAAAATTGCCAAAAATCGGCAAAAAATTTAAATTTTCTTTTTTTTAAGATTTATAAACCTAATAATAATTAACATAGGAAAGCTTACCGAATTAAAGTTAATGCTTTTTTTGACTTAGTTATGAGTTTTTTAAATTTTGATTTATTGAAGAAATTGTCATATAAAAATATTGGATAAAAAATTTCCATATTTTAAGCTTAGTTATGATCGATATCCGATACGATCCTATAATTCGATAATTTATTTCTTGAACTAGGCCTGATTTTTCCTATTAGATCTATAGACATGATATAATTATAATGGTGAAGACATAGCGCATTAGAGGACACATGATTATCCAGATTCATTGCATTTGTCAGGTGATATTTTTGGGTGGAAGGGTTATCACTTTCACAATCACTAGAGATGTTAACAGTGGGGAGGCCGGGCACAGACTGAGGCCACCGCGACTTAAGTGCCTCTATTTATACTCCCCAAGTAAAGAGAACAGAGAAAGTGAGAGCGAGAGAGTAAAAGAGATCTGTAGAGATAGGCAGAGAGAGATAGAGAGTAAGAGCCATCTGTTGAGATACGCAGATAGAATGAGAGAAAGAGTATCTCTAGAGGCACACAGAGGGAGATAGACATAACAAAAAAGGTACTTTTGATGCTGATCAAGAATATATATAAACTTTGAATAATAATAAAAAAAAGCAAGTTGCAGCAACTAATCTTCATAAATTTCTAAAATGTTTTTTTTAAATTAATTTAATTTTCCCACAAAAAAATACACCTTTAATGATTTTTTTTATAAATAATTTTATCGGAATAATTTTATTGAAATTTTTGGATGTTTAGGTCTAAGTTCAAGTGTTTAAGATCAATTTACAATTGGACATCGTACAACAACATCGGTATACATACATACACATCTAAATTAATACACATTAAATACAGCTCTAGGGATCAATCGATGATGTGTGGCTATAGGATATAGGACACAACAGATACATACATATATTTATGGCATTTTTGGGGGTCTTGTTAGAACTAGAGAAACTCTTCTACATGCATACAGATACGAATAGGTAATGTGGAGCTATAAGTACTCATAAATTCGTAATGGATCTCTTCTGATACGACTGGCTATCACCTAGATTCCTAAATACATCCATGGCTTTTGTTGTATTTGATATGGAGTGTGTCTGTTTAGTGTTTTGTGTTGGAATGTTGTGGAAGAATTTGGAGTAAAAGCTGACTATATACAGGTATTTCCGGGATCTTCGGATCTTCCTATTCACCGGAACTGATGGAGCTGCCGCAGAGGGAACCGGAACCGGCTTCCATTTGCATGTGGGACATGTTCAGGGCCTGAGGTGGATACCCAAAGGCATGACTGCTCAGAGGAGTACCCGTGGGACTGTCCAGATCCAGGGAGGGATTGATGCGTTTCTCCTTCTGGCGACGATTGCAGAACCACACACGCACCACCTCCTTGTCCATATGCAGACGCTCCGAAAGCTGGTTAATCTCCTCCGAGGTGGGCTTGCAGTTCATCAGAAAGGCCTTTTCCAGGGTCGTACGCACCGTGGTTCAATAGAGGTGCGTTTCTTACGCCTGCGTCCAGGATACTCTCTGGTGTGCTGGTCAAACTGCTGGTCATAGTGTTGATATTAAACACACCGCCACCTGACTTGGCCACACTCGAGTCAGCATCCTCCAGCCACTTCTGGAGCAGTGGCTTTAGCTTGCACATGTTCTTGAAGCTCAGATTGAGGGCCTCGAAGCGGGAGATGGTGGTCTGAGAGAAGTCATTGCCATAGAGTTTACCCATGGCCAGACCTACGTCACCTTGGGTGAAGCCCAGCTTGATCCTACGCTGCTTGAAGGTCTTGGCGAACTGCTCCAGCTCCTCCAAGTCCGTGGTCTCCTCCGGCGACTGTTCCAGCTTGGCCATGGCCGAGGCCACTGTCAGACCACTCTGGGGTTTGGGAGTACTCTGCTGCTGGTGCTGATGCTGATGCTGCTGCATGCTGGGTGTATTTGGAGTCATCACAGCACTGCTCAGTCCCAGGGAATTGGCAGTCATCGAGTTGGGGGGCGTCCGCTGCTGGGACTTGCTGCTGTGCCTGGGCACAGGACTCAGGGAGGGACTTCTTAGGGGAGACTTGGCCAACGGCGTGGAATAACTGGGCGGATGATCCTCCCTCTGCTGCTGCTTTATCTGCTGTAGTGCCTGAAACTGGGCCAGGGCCTGCAGAGAATTCTGGAGCAGAAACTGTGATGCCAGGTTTTGATTGGGAAAAGCCTCGGGAGCCAGTTGCCGGACCATTTCGATGTAACTATGCAACTGAAGCTGCAGCGCCTGATGCATTTCCTCGGGCGCAAAATTCATGGGCTGTGGTGGCACCACACTGGGCTCCAGCTCCTCTTCCTCCTTCACCGTTTCCTGCTTGATTTCAGCTAATCTCTTTGGCGGTGGAGCCAAGTCCAGGACCTCGTTCTCCAGCTCTGGATCCAGATCACGGGCCTGGCGCTTGCTGCTTAGATTCTGTGGCATCTCGACGCAGTTCTCGCCCAGTTCAAGTTCCTCCTCCTCAAAACTCTTGCCGCAGTCTGTAAGCAAAGGAAAAGAAGATATTTTTATATGTTGTACGGAAAAGAGATATATTTTTATATATGTACATGTATGTATATATATATAGTAAACGTCGATTGTGGTGGGTAGTTTGCTTTTCAATTTTCCAACTCAATGAAGTTCAAGTAGCCGGACTCTGGTCAACGCACGCGTTCTATAATTTGATTTTAAGCAAAAGACTGTGCAAGTTTTACAATATTTCCAAAGCTATTTTGAAGGGTATCGCAAGGATATATTGATTTATGAATAAGTTTGATTAGAAAGAACCTATTTGTTGTCATTTTTGTTTAAAGTAAAAGTATTAAATCTCTATAATCATTAAGTCTTTTGTATCTAATTTTTTAAAATTTTTTGAAAAATTTTTGAAGGTAGCTTTAGTATTTAACTACGTACGTTTTCTACTTTTATTCTCCCTAAAAAAATAAATATTTAACACTTTACAATATTTTCCTATATTTTAAAAAGAGTATAAATTGTAAGTTCATTTTTCTTAGACCAATTTATCTTCAGCCTTTTTAAGGCAAATTTTATTCAATCTTCCAATTGAATGCCCATCCTTTTTTTCCTTGGCTGTCCTGTCCAATGTCTGTGTCCTGCGGTTAGCTACGATAGACGCTCAAGCGGAAGGGTTCGCCTTTGTGGCCCCACTTCCCCCATTGAACCCACAGCGAACTCCCCCCAAAAAAAACTGTGTTGTTGAAAACCCAATCATGCATAATAATTGAAAAATAGCCGTACATCAGAGAGCAGTACATAGAAGTCAAACAGGAAGCTGGGCCCAGCCGAGTCCTTTGTCTGTGGTAAATGCGCAGGAGCTCAGATTTCATAATTATTTTCTTAACAAAAAATGATTGATTTAAGAGAGGAATAAAATATAATGAGAAGGAAACTAGTGCAGGAGAAATGTTATAAGAAATAATAAATGCAGAGACAACAATTCAATTAAGAAATATTCTATTAAAACTTCTAAACATTTGCTTAAATGTAAAAAGGAAACCCTAAGCATTTACAAGGCAAAAAATCAAACCCTGTAAACCGATTTAGAGACTGGAATTGATAGTTTTAAGCGGATTTAACCCCATGTTAAACTCGATTCATAGGATTAGAGGACATTTTTCAACAGAATATCTACGATGCGGGAGTTTTAAAACTTTGCCACTAAATTGCATGCGGCCAGCTGTTTTTATGACTCCCTTTATGTAGAACGGCAAAAGTTGAAAATACGCCATAATAAAATTAGCCATTGAAAGCGAATCGGGGAACCAGTCAAAACCAAGCCAAGGGTTAGGCGTATTCCCAACGAATTTGTCACCCTTTTCGTGATCAAAATTTTGCAACCCCCGTTTGATACGAGATTTTTAAATTTAAAATTCGTTACAATTTCGAATGCACGAGTCGCGGATTACAACTGAATGCAACTTGCCACTGGAAGGGTTCCAAAGATGCATTGTTTATTTTGCAATACTATAAAAGGAGGTAAAGGAGGAAAGTCAAGAAGCCTCTGTGGAGCAAGTTCAAAATCTAGAAATACACATTACTGTGATCCTTTTGTGCTTGGAATGCGCCTGCAGTGCGCTATCCACGATCCTTGATTCCCTCTACCCAAAAACCAGGTGATGCCGCTTTGTCTGTTCTGCCGGAGCAGATGTGTTATCCTGCTGACGAGGCAAGCCTGCAAGTTCCTCGTCTCGTCCTGCCACAATAGCAAATGTGTGAATGTTTCCACTGACAAATGAAGTGTTGCCTCTATTTGAAAATTCTGTGTACTCCTTTTTCCTCTTGCAGTTTTTAGGGGTTGATTTTTGGGATCCTAGCATCGATAAAAGGGAGTGTAAAGTGCGTTTCGATTTATGGGAAAGATATAGCCGCGCATATATGTATATATAAAGAGAGAGTGCATTGGTAAAGATTTATGGTGATAGAGAACTATAGAGTCTGGCAATCCAATTATCCTTGCATATCGCATGCAGTTTATCTACATACATATTTGGATATTTGGAAAATCGTTCTTTGATAAAATTTTATCATTAATATTTTAAAATTACTTTTAAAACGTAGAAAAATGTTTTATATTGTAAAGCAAGAAATCCCTTGTAGCTTGAATTATAGGAATGTATATATATAAACATATATACAACAATACAATACATTTATGAACATTTTTTCTACAAATCAAAATTTAAAAACCGCATAACTAAGCCAAAAACTCATTGATTTAATTTGGAAGACTTTCCTATCTTAGTAAAAATAGGTTAATAAACTGCATACTCAATTATTACAATTTTAACCCCTTATAACATTTTAAAATTAAAAAAAAATTGAATTTTACTCGGACATAGCTAGATCGACTCAGCTGTTGATGCTGATCAAGAATATATATGTTTCATAGGTCGGAAATGACTCCTTTACAGTGTTTCAAGCTTCTGACTAAAGTTATAAGCCCTTAGCTTTAATAAGCTTTTATTTTTAAAGTCAATTAGCTTAATAAAAATATAATGTATTATATTATATTCTTCCAAAAAACTCTCATTACTTCCTATATAATAATCCCTTAAAGCCTTAGCTTCCCCTTTAACCCTTCATTATAGAAACTCATACCTCCTCCTGACTCCTTTTTAAAAGCCCTATGATTTTCAACTTGTTTGCATGCCACACACAAAACGCCCTCGAAACGCCCACAAAGGAAGTAGTATATTTCTAAATACAAAATGAAAAAAGGAGACACCCAATCAAACCTCTGATTATAATATCCTTTACCCGCTGCCGCCATAGAATTACCCTTCAACCAAAAAAGAGAGCCTCAATTAACTCACGCAACCAAATCCTTTCAATTTGAATAACGGAGGGAGATTGCTCAACAAGTGGCACTTAAAAAATAATATTAAAAAAAGGTGGCAAAGGGTAACCCTTCACACCTCGTCGCTATTCAAATGATATGTTAAATAGGGTTCAGAGCGGGATCAACAGTTTGCCTTCTGTTCCGGCACTTGAGTTTTTTAAGCAGCCACAACCCTTTTATTTTTTTCGTGGAAGGAGGATTTCCCCTTTTAATATTATTTTGACAATATTTGAATATGCATAATAGAGAGAGGGGTGTTATCAAGAGGGGTTTAGGGTTAGAGCTAGGCACCCTTGGCACTCATTTGACTCGCCTAATTTGTGTAAACCAATAAAAATGCGCTTTTAATTGCAACTACTATCGGATGGGCATGGGGCAACCCCTGCTAATGCCACGTCAATAAATTATAATATTCAAATCGGGGTTGGTTTTTGTTGCATGTTTTTGCATAGATTAGTTGCACTCGGTTAGGGGTTGTCCTGTTTAGGGGTTCGCACAATTCGAGGTCCTTGCATAATTGCTTCGGGCCAAAGTAGAAATTTACATTCTGACAAATTGTTATTTCTGTTTTGTTTGCCAAATAGAAGAGGGTCGTGTTAGGGTCAATGAAAAGCAGAGGGAGTTGAAGTTTTGGGAGGTCAAAAGAGCATGTATAGGGGTCTCAGAAGGATGATCTCCTGTTTTTAGCAAATGTAGCGACCAGGGGTTGTTTTCGGGGAGGATGTGGGTGGGTTTTTCCACGGACAAAATAAGTTTTTGGTTGGCATTCAGGGAAAATGGTCAAACGGATATTTAAAGTTTTGCAATTTTATAACAATGGACAATAATGAGCGGATATTTAAACAGAACAATGCTTCGTCTTTAATTAATGGTTATTTAAGGGAAAATTGAAATATTTTTAGGGAAATAAATCTATTTCTAGAAATATCGATAAGTAACAATAGTTCCTGCATGTTTCAATGAAGATCTTGTCAATAAAATAATTTTATTTATTTATTAAATTTTAAATATATTTAAACAATAAAAAGAATACGAATTTGTCTTGTAATTCCTCAATATCCTTCAGCTTCTCCACCTTTAAATTCCTCGAATTTCCTATTGCCAAACCCAAAGACTTCTGTTACGACTTCAGTCACACTTTGGTCACGTGCTGGTCCCTCAAAACAGCACCTATAATAAATATTATAGGTACCCCTCGTCCTAACCTAATGCCTCATACCAATAACAGAACCAAGGACTCCAGTTCCTACCTAAGCCGAACCCAGGATATAAACTCATAGAGGATAGGGGATGCGGCAAAGGGGATGCATGGCTGATTGCATATTGCAAAAAAAAAAGGAGAAATACTGAAAACTATAAAAACTGGCTGTCTGTCTGTCTGTCCGTGTGAGTAATCAATTTAGCCACAAAGTAGCCACGTTCCGACACGAGTCGGCAGCAGCATAAAAAAAGGACATGCCAGCTGAATGCTGTCCAAGGATTAGCCATATATACATATTAAATAGTAAAATATATTTACCTGATAGTGAGCGCAGCGGTGAGGGCGGTGTGGGTGAGTTGGACATGTGCCGCATAACTGCAATGACAAAATACAAAACATATTTTTATATTTTTAATAATAATACTTTTGAGGCAAGAAAAACTCAAATGCAAATGACACGTACTTAAAGTCAAAGGCAGACATGGAAAATAAATCCATAAAAGGGAGATGGAGCTATGTCCAGGGTGTTTTCATATCATGTCTGGATCGTAAAATGTCCATTAGGAATTCGGACATATACATAGTATACACCGTTTTCTGATGGCAAATATAACATGCAAAATTGTTCTTTCTCGCCCTCAGCTGAGTGCCCTGTGTTGTAAAATTTTTAAGGATCAATTTCCGCAAGGAAATAATACTTAAAGTAGTTTTCACACTATTTTATGGTCATTTCGCTCACTGTGAAATTTTTGAAGTGATTCAAGCAAGATTGTATAAGAGATTTGAGTTGTAGAAGTATTTTAACAAAGTTTTTAACAACACTTTAAATATTTTTTAAAAAGAGGACCTTTTGTGATTATATCTTTACAAATTAGATTTATTTTCATAGAAAGTTCTTTCCCAATCAGGTTTTAAATTAATTTTAATGTTTACAAAAATATTTGTATAAATATTTAATAAACATAATATATACTTCTTATAATAATTTACTAATAGATATATTAATTATATTAAAACTAAAAAAAACTCTTCGATTTTGCCCTAAAAAGTCCTGAAAACTGTCACAAAAAT